ATCACTGTGGAGATGCTCAAGAGACTTGAGTACAGTGCTGTGCCTTGGGAGCTTGTGAATGTCTCACCTTAGTCCTGCTCTGGGTGCAGCCCTCACAACAGGTTCCTGCAGAGGAAGCCCTGAGGCTGGGTTTGGGATCTTTGGGTAAGTAAACAGGAATTGTGGCTCTCAGGATCCCTTACTGCTGTTCTCTTCACCTTTATGTCCAATAAAAGGGCCATTTATTTTACTGAAGGGATACAAGGAAAAGCAGGGAAAAGAATACAGGGAAAGCCTGGGCTGCAGCAAATTAATCACTGCTCTTAGTCCACATCTTGCTCGGTTGCCATCTTCTGAGAGACCTGGCCCTGTGGCAGGTTTTGGGGATTCGTCAGAAGTCCGCAGGAGGCTCAGAAGAACACCGTGGGCATCCTGCCTGTGCTGAGTGCCTTCTGCCGTTTCCACGTAGCTCCGGCCCCTGCTTGCCGAGTGCTCGATGTGCCCATGGAAATCAACCCGCTACCATTCCCTAGGCGACAGCAGGTGGCAGCGTGGCCTTGCTTTGACCCTCCATCACCGCACTGTTCCTGTGGCATTGCTATACCTATACGTAAGAACTTTGTGCGTCACCGACAAGTTCGTGATCTATCTTCTTTTCCCTAGCTTGATAATCATGGAAAGCTGTATTCCAATAAAACTGTCCATAAAAGGGGTTTATATACACAGCATGATCCAAGCAGGTTTTCTATAGTGGCCACTGCTCTAAATTAAATCACCCCAGAGAATCTGTAATTTCTTTTTGTCTAGTAAAAGAGAAGACTGTCCTGTGAACAGTGATTAATAGTGCTTCAGAGGGGAAAGATTAAAAGAAAAATCTGTGCCTATTCTGATTTTTTGCTTAGTTAACTACTGAGTGAGTCACTAAGACATCTACTTAAAAGATGGTTATGTCCTAACCTCAGTAGTATATCTACCTTAAAAAAATATATCATTTGTCTAATGCTTTAAGATTTAAAAATGAATCATCCTCTATAAAGGCTAGGAGTTGATTCATCTAAAGCTAATTCCAATTCTGTTGATTGCCAGTATTTATAATACTGTTTATGGACTCAATAATTAAAATATGTTTCAAATATTACTCTTATTCTTGCAAGCATCTGCTGAGCAAACACAAAAACTCATTTGGAACCGGACTACATTTGCCAGCCCACTGTAGCAGCCTAATAAAGACAAATGCATTTGCACAGTGCCGAGAACATAAGTTAAAGGTAACACAGCAGAGCAACAAGAAGTCACTTGACTTTCAATATCAAAGCATTTTCTCCAATGGAATTTGATTCACAGGTTTCTGTACAAATTGCAGGCAGAGACTTTCTTTTAATGTGCATTTCAGACATTCTCAAAATAAATGCTAAAGTTTTAGAGATGAGACATGTACTTCCTACAATAATACTGAAGCTGCTAACCTCAGAAATGACCACCATTCTCTCAGAGGTAATTCATTGTCTGTATGCCAATTCTTGGGGATGCAATCTTCTCAGCTAACACACTCAGCTAAGCTTTAGTTATTTCTAATATCATGACTGCACATACTCAGCACTCCTAAGCAAGTAAAAAAATTACAAACTGAACAAGCACAAAATGAAAAACACACATAACCATCTGTATTATATATATAACCACACACGTAATTAGTAAGACAGAACAAACCCAGCAACATAGTAGGTATAATTCTGCCAAAGTTAAGGATCAATATCTCCTTTACCCAAGGATGTATGATCCATTTTATGACCGGAGGTGGTACACAGAGAAGAGATGAATGAAGCCTCAATGCTGTAGCAATAGCTGTGAGGTGGATATACAGTTGTCCACAGCATGCTGCAGGGAATGCTTTCCACATGAAACACTGACATTTCTCTATGCAAAAGCATTCCTGTTATGTCTTAGAAACTAATGTTTGCTATAAAGGCAGAAAAAAGAGAGTTAGAGTGCACTCTTAAGTATATGACAGAGTTTTAATTGCCACTAATTTGTCTTGTTTGAATTATAAAGGAATACTAATTTATTCTTGTCTGATGCATAAACATTTGGCACTGAATTAATCATAGTTCTGTTTTTGAAGCAAGCAGCCTCAGGGCTGATACTATTTCTAACATATGCAGCCAGTACAATGCAAATAGTAGGTACAAACATAAAGAGATCAGACTCCGTCTTATCTCTTCCTATCTATGTCCAACCTTTTAAAAAAACAGAACTAATTATTAAGTTGGAAATCAAAAGCACAGGCATTAGAGTACCATTTAATTCTGCAAATAGGAGCTAGAATCTGAAATCACGCTGATTTTGGAAACAAGCAGACAAGCAAACTAAAAACAATAAACAAACACAAAGTTGTATAACTAGAAAGAAGCATAACAATACACAATTAGCTGGTCAAGAGAATTACAGATCAATAACATTTAACTGTTTGTTTTACTAGGTCTTAACTCCCTCGTCCATTCAGTAGAAATGTTACTGAAATAATAGTGTGTACTATTTTAACTAAGGTGTTGATGTATGATTTTTCTACTTTTCTTTTTCTTTTTTTTTTTTTTTCTACTGATGACTGGTGTTTTTCTCTACTTTACGATATGCTTTTTTCCCTGCTACATTTTTTCTACTTTATGAGCTTCACCACTGCGCACGCAATGGAGAAAAAGAAGCACGGTGATATAAAAGTAGGACAAGACAGCTATTACTCATGGCTTTATTAGGGCAGATATTTCTGTGTGTATATTCACCCATATAATAAACACACTTGAGCTGGTTGGTCTACTAGCTTGTGTAAAGATTGTCAGGATATCTTTACTAGCCAGTGATTAAGGAGAAAAATATCCTTTGCTAAGCATGGCAATGGAGAGGGCAGCTGGAATCGCTGGGCTGGAAGAAAGCTCCTTGCTTTCTCCTCTGCAGGCAGGCAAGGTGCCAGGTTCTCAGAGAGCAATCCCTCTCAGAGCCGTGCTGCTGCACCAGGCCTGTTGTGTGTCAGAATGAGGGTTGCAGGCCAAGTGTGACTCAGAGCTCAGAATAGCAGTGGACGCAGCACAGGGCAAAACACAGCATGGGGTGGCACAGCAAAGCAAGCCGCTTCAGTTGAGCAAGGAGGAATCTAAACACAGGTCTCACTAAGGCTGGGCTGATGTTGTAGCTGAAAAAGGTGGGCATTTTGAAACTGTCCCAGCAATCTAGAGCTCATGTGTAATGCTGCTGGTTAGAGACCATGCTTCTACCTCCACTCACAGAGTTATTTTCTACAGGCATTGCCATGAGGAGTGAACAGCAGGCTGCAAGTTGGTGAAAAATGGCCTGCTTCTGCTCTGTTTGGAACAACAGGGGAGTGTCCTGGGTCACGCCTGCAACAGGGAAGGCAAGATGGAGGTCTGACTCAGAGGACCTGGCTGGTGGTGGGTAAGGACAAGAGCTAAGGGCTGAGGCATGACAGCTCCCTGCCAGAGACAGACAGGAGGAAGGAGTCAGAGGGAAAGTGTGCGAAGGAGAACTGAGCCAAAGGGAAATAACCAACAGGAAACGGAGAGAACAAAAGAGAGCAGCACAGCCAAGTCACAGCAGGGGAAATAAAAGACTGACATTTACTGGAGTTTATCAGAGAGAACCCACCGCCATGCTCTGCGAGCTCTGAAACAGTCAGCCCAGACGGACAGTGCCTGCACTCGCCTTCTGCTTGTAATCTTTCCTAACACCATTTCTGTTCTGATGAGTCACGGACACTGCCAGAGGGAATGTGGAAGGGGTGCCTTCACCCCAGTGACACACTTTTTTTGCTGCAGTGGTGGTACAGTCGTGAAACAGCGGATCACTGCCAGCCCTGCTTCAGCGCAAGGCAAGCCTAAGGCTTGTCAGAAGCAGTCTACTTCTGGGCAATGCCGGGGGGGAGGCTTGTCTTTTCTACCCCATGTCCCTGGCTATGGGGAAGAAAAGAGGAATGGACAGTCAGGAGCCAGGGCACAGTGCAGAAGGTGACCCTTATGCCCACACCTATGGGCACTACCACTGAAAGGAGCAACTGGGAACGTGAACTTTGTGCCTTTGCTTTTTCTGTGGCGGAAGAGCTGAGAGATGGGTGGCATCTAGATAAGAAATGCCTATTTTTATTCAAGGATTAGGTTCGGGTCTCCGGAATAGCAACAAAAAAGCGAGCAGCCTTCCTCAGGCGCACCTCAGCCACACACGTTCGCTGCTGCAGAGCCACGTTGGAGGTGGGCACCACCTGGCGCCTCGTGGTCAACTTATTTTCACACGTGCAGTTTACTTCGTGCACACATTCTGAGCTGAACCCAGCACTCGGTGAGTGAGATGAAACAAAAGCGGCCGCCCCGACACGAAAACCACCACACGCCTCGTAGAACCCGTCTCTCTCCGGCAGCTCCCACCGTGCGGGAGCGGCGTAAGGGGCGGGGGTCGCTTCTTCCCCCGCCCGAGTGCAGCGTTGAGCAACTCCATCCGGGTCCCCGTCGCTCAGGGGCACGTGGGGCGTGAGGGCAGCGACACGGCGCGCCGGGGGGACAAAGGAGCAGGCGAGAACCACCGGGCTTCTCGCCGCGCTGACGGCTCGGAGGAGCCCTGCCGCATTTGTTGTCTCCTCTTTATTCCTCCGAGAAGCGGGCGCCCGCGGATAACGAGGCTGCCGCGGAGCCTTCCGACCCGCAGCCCGGATCCCTTTCCCCCGCGGGCCCGAGCGCTTGGTACGCGCCGGCCGAGCACGCCTGCGCAGTGCGGGCAGGGCGGCACCCGTGTGACTCAGGCGCTGCCATTTTGAGCGCTCGCTCCTGCCGCGCGGCTGCTCTCGCCCTTCGCTCCCGTGCCGACGGCCAGGCGCAGACCGCGGCGCTCCCGCTCGCTCCTGCCGTCGCCTCCGAGGACGTCCCAGGGTCGCCTGGGCGAAGAGAGCCCTCGTCCTCCTTCGGGCTGTCCCCGTCCTCCGCCGCCGTTCCGGCGCCTCTATGCCCGCCGCCTTCCTTGGGAGCCGCTAGCGCAGCGACCCGCCGCCGTCTCCTCCTCCTTCCGTTGCTGCCGCCGCCGTCGCCTCTTCCTCCTTCTCCTCCTCCTCTCTCCGCCACCATTTCCCCACTCCCCGGCACCGGGGCGCTGAGCTAGACTATGGGGACCAGGCTGGGGCTGAGCAGCGGCAGAGCGGGCGGCCCGGTCACCGTGTCCACTGCGGCGGGGATGGGGGGGCTCGGCGGCTTGGTGGCTTTATCTTGACATGGCTCCTCTCCGTGCTGCTAGCAGCGCCGCCTCCTCTGCCCCTCCTGCGCCCGCCGGCTGCGGGTAGCGAGCGAGCCACGGCCCTGGTCTCTTGTCTGAGTCTCTCAGCCTCTTGCTTCAGTTAGGGGGAAATTGGGGGAGGAGTTCCTTTTTTTCTGTTTTTTTTTTTCTTTCTTTGTAAGGAGAGGAGGGGGGAATTTTGTTCCCCTGTCTTTAACCTGGTCCGACAAATTTGCTAACCTCCAACCTTTAAATCCCTGCTAATCTAATCAAACACCTCGGGGGGGCAAAATGTCTGGAGAGAGAAGGAAAATAACCTGATAATTGGGGATTTGCTTTTCGGGGGTGGAAGGGTATTTGGGAGGTTTAAAATCACAACCTAGGCTTGTGATTAAAAAAAAAAAACCTCGCCAAAAAAAAAATTGCCACTGAAATCTGTTTGGCAAGAAAAGCGGAAGCAAAACTCTCCATGTTTTCCAAGTCGTGACCATGAAGTGAGAGGAGGAAGCGTCGCGCTACTGTGGGTGTGCCAGGCCCCGGGCACGGGCCGCCCGCTCCAGCCTCTGCCGCCTTGCATAGGGAGGCCCAAGGAGAAGCAGGGAGCACTGGTCATGCACAGCCTCGGCTAGCCGAGTGCGCTGCAGGCACAGCAGCAGTAGAGAGAGAAGGATCCCCCAGGGGTCAGCAGCCCAGGGAGCCTGTGGGGCATCGGGGGATGTAGAGCTCTCCTGCTGGGAAGGAGTCAGGGTTTGGGGTGTCTGTTTGGGTGTTAGTCTCTAGGTGAGATAATACTGTCTCTTAACCCCTGCCTGCTTCTCATCGGTGGCTGTCATGCTTTCTCTTCCCTTTGGCAGCAGAAGCCTCAGGGCAGTGACGTGCCCGATGTTGAGCAGGATGAAGTTAGAAATGACTCTGCTGTTTTTTCTCTTTGCTTCCCTTCAAACCAGCACTGTGTTGTCTGTAGTTGATTTTGTTCTTGTTGGCAGAGAAATGTCATACCTCCCAGGATGCGCACTCCTCCTTTGCACCCTTTTCTCTGCCGTCCACCAAGTGTAATCGTCGTGAAGGGTAAAAAGCAGCACAGCAATAGTGGGAATCTGAGAATAATAATCAGTAGAGTCATGAATCTGGCTGGGGTGAAACGCAGTTTGTAATACCAGCTTCATTTTTTTGTAAGCAGAGCAAAAATAACCCCCCCATGGATTGGGTTTGTGCCAGTTGCTTTTTATTGTACACATAAATTGTGATAAGATTTGTTTTTTCATTCTCGCCCACTTATTCCTGCAGCCAAACTGTTAAATTTTTTTTGTTGTTGTTAAAAATTCTTAGGTTTTTTTTCTTGGTTTATGGTCAAACCTCTTGTCCAGCCATGGCTGGGCAACTGTTTATTTTGTTTCTTGGCCCTTCCAATATGACATTCCCATAAAATACTGCCTGAGGTGCGGTTTTGGGTTGCACTTGTGTTTTTATCTATTCAGTCATATTAGCAGGAATAAAATGACTTGTTTCTGTTGTACTTGAGTCTTATGAAAAAGTGCCCATAGTTTAGCGACAGTTTCCAAAGGCTTTAGTACCACCTATATAACAAAATGGGGGACCCAAACTCCCGGAAGAAACAAGCTCTGAACAGACTTCGTGCTCAGCTTAGAAAGAAAAAAGAATCTTTAGCTGACCAGTTTGACTTCAAGATGTACATTGCCTTTGTGTTCAAGGACAAGGTAACTTGGTTCTTGTTTATCTGCTTCTGTGTTGCAGTGCAAGATAACTATGCTGGGCCAAGTCTTTTATCAGTAGTTTGTTCCCTTGAACGTTTTATGTCTTTTTATTGCTCATTGATATTTGCCTAGTTCTTATTTATTGTCAATTTGGCTTTTCTTTTCATGTGTTTGTAGTTCTGTAATCCTGGGGGTGCTAATGCATTATTAAATAAGTTGGTAGCTTCTGTATTGGAGAAGTACAAGTTATGTTGTACTTTGTTCAGCTTTATTATGGTCTGAGTTGTATAATTGTTTGCTGTGAAATGGTTCAGTTAAGAAACGAGACCTGACTGGTGCAATTGACAAAGCTACTGCACTTATCTGGTTAAAGCAGAAGGGAGAACTTGGCAGCTGAAGGGAGCGGCTGTTAAAGGCAGTTTTGCAGTGGCCCGAGGATGTTGACGTATGTGAAGCTGCCTCCCCCTTTCTGAAAGTAGGGGGAAAAAGAGGAAGTCTGTTCACTCAGCTGTCTTGTAGAAGGCTGTTGGAGGCTCTAAATGTGGACCAAAATGGGAAACCCATTGGCATTCTAATATCAGCTTAGAGCCAGAATTGTAAGATTTCTCCGTCCACAGAAGGAGAGGAAAAGTAGATGCTCAGAGTAACATACTGAGCAAATTGACTGAGTGAAGATGGAAGCAAATTGCAACTAAATGGACAAAATAAGGAAGCACGTGTACATGAGCACTAAAACTGTCTATCTAAATGTATGGTTCTTTACATTTGGTAGAAGTTACTTCTTTTTAATGAAGACTGTTCTCCGGACTTCATTTAAAAAATTCCATAAAATTGTTGTGTCCAGTTTGTTCATCAGTTCTTGTTCAAACTCTGCATTCTATAGTGTGACATAGTTTCTGGGTATTGCATTGCTATTGCAATGAGACTGCTGAGTGAACTTGCTTGTATTAAAGGACAATTCATTATTTTTTCCTTCTGTGTTACTTCTCCCAGTAGTAAAACATACCACTATTTCTAAAGAAGTACAAGTCTAGTCAGTGGTAACTGGATTTTCTTAGCTGATGAGGTTCTAATAAGCCAGTCTCCCCACTGTTAACAAACATTGAGGTGAAAGACTTCATCAGGTTTACTTGACTGGCAAATAAAAGCTTGTGGAGGACTCTTGGTCAGTCTGAAGTCATGCATTCTGCATGGTGGAAGTTCAGTTCTAACAGTGTCTGGGTAGACTCTTGATATTTGATCCAAAAGAAGATTATGAAATCTGAAATAAATTAATTACAAGTACCTAGAAATGAGTGTAACCTTTAATGCAATGTGTTTTTTTCTTTTGCAGAAGAAAAAGTCAGCGCTTTTTGAAGTGTCTGAAGTGATACCAGTCATGACCAATAATTATGAAGAAAATATTCTGAGAGGTGTGCGGGATTCCAGCTATTCTTTGGAAAGTTCCTTAGAGCTTCTGCAGAAGGATGTAGTACAGCTTCATGCACCCCGCTACCAGTCTATGCGCAGGGTAGGGTTATACTTTGCTTGCTGAGTTTCACCTTGACTTTTGAATTCTTGTACTAGTATTTGTAAATCTTGATGCTAATCCTGCTTCCCTATTTTCTCATCTGCTGCTGCTGCCTGAAAGTTCTGAAGGGTTGTTTTTGTAGGGTCTAGTTTGAAGGGTAACTTAGAATCATAGAATTGCTCAGGCTAGAAAAGACCTCCAAGATCAAGTCCAACTGCAACCCAACCATACTACCCTAACTCTAACAACCTTCTGCTAAATCATGTCCCTGAGCACCGCAACAAAATGATTTTTAAACACATCAAGGGATGGTGACTCAACCACCTCCCTGGGGAGCCTATTCCAGTGCTTATAGAACTTAGCACATGCTTTCTGAAATTCTGCTTGAATCTGCAGTGCTTGTGCTTTATCTTAATGTGTCTCACTGAAATATGCCTTGGTAATTTTTTGCTGGCATCTGTTAATAGGTATGTACTGAAGCAACTATATACATATAACTAAGTGGTTTTGTTAGATGAATACTGGAAAGCAAATAATCTTTCCTAGGAATGATAGTTTTCCTGAAGCTGGATACTTAAAACTCACTGGAGGGTGAGGAAGATTATAGTTCTTTTGAGTAAAACAAATGGGGAAAAAAAACCCACACAAACATGATAATAAGTATCACCTTTTAATTTTAAGCCTGTATAGGCAAGTTGCTTATCTGTATCTCCTACTAATAGAGAGAGTCTTAAGTACAGAACTCTACCACTTGCAGGATGTGATCGGCTGTACCCAGGAGATGGACTTCATTCTCTGGCCTCGTAATGACATTGAAAAGATAGTCTGTCTCCTGTTTTCTCGGTGGAAGGGATCTGATGAACCCTTTAGGCCTGTTCAGGTATTGTTTTTAACTGAAATTACGTTTCTGGGGGTGGGGAAGAAGGGACTAGGCAGGAGGAAGAAGGGAAAGCTTAATACTATCTTTGCTTAACTGTGATAAGGTCTGTGACTTCTGTGCATGTTAGAAAGCATTCCAGTTAGTTTTAATTATAAAACAATCTTCTGAGTTCTGCTTCATGAATTGTGATCTTAGCATGAAGGAAACTGTATGAAGGACCTTTTCAAATGGCATATATAAACAGATATATATTCTTAGTGTTTCTAGTAACTAATTCAACATGGCTCTTCTCAGTACAATGTAATCTTTATCTACATATGTCATTAAGGTTCCGTGAGTACCCCTGAGTTGCTGTATTTTATAAATGGTAGCAGATCTGAAATAGGTGGGATTATTGCATTGTAGTTTTGCCTTGAAACAAACAAATTTCCAACATTTCAAAATAACTTCAGTTGCAGTAGTAAGTTATTGACAGAAATGTGCTGTATAGCTGATGCACAGATATTCTGGTTAGAATAAGCTGAATTTTTTTCTTATGTAGGCAGTTAAAGTTGCACCTTGGTTTGAATTATAAATGCCATTGGAATTAGTCTAAGCAGTTTAACTTCTGTGCCAAGACTGTGTACTTGTTGCTCAGGTCCCAGATTGAATGAAATTAATTATAATTGCGTTTTTAGCTGGGTAAATATTTCCCTTCCTCACACAATGCAGGCCAAGTTTGAGTTTCATCATGGTGACTACGAAAAACAGTTTCTGCATGTTCTGAGCCGAAAGGACAAGACTGGAATTGTTGTCAACAACCCTACCCAGTCAGTGTTTCTCTTCGTTGACAGACAGCACTTGCAGGTAAACTTACTGTGTCCCTTTTCTGTGATACCCAAGGTGTGTTTTAGGAGTGTCTTAATCATCAAATGCTTTTTCTTCTTAGGAATGTTAGTGACTTGTATTGCAAAATATCCATGTGGAAAAACTGATTGTGCATTCGTGCTTGCGTTTCAGCTCTTAGAGGAAACATGCTATAAATAGTATTTGCGCATGCATGAGCTATTTACAGGGCAGAGATCTGGCTGCACAATTCTGTAATTTTTAATACAAAAACATGAAGTTCTGAAATAGACTTAAGTATTTCGGAGACGTTAAAGTATTGGCTGAGTTTATGTGATTTTTACCGAAATGGCTGAAGGGAAAATGAACAAAATAATGAGAAGATTTTTTAGGTATTTGGAGTCTTTTGTTTAGATTGTGTGAAAGACAGTGGCTTTTAAATGCTGTGTTCTGCCACAAACATGCTGTTAATTGCATTGAGTCTTCTGAGTGTCTGCCTGTTAGTCTTGAGTTGGCTTGCATGTTTAATTGCTTTTCTTTGTGTTTTCTTTGCCTCTAGACTCCAAAAAACAAAGCTACAATCTTCAAGTTATGCAGCATCTGCCTGTACCTGCCACAGGAGCAGCTCACACACTGGACGGTTGGTACCATAGAGGATCACCTCCGTCCTTACATGCCAGAGTAAGGTACTGGCCAGCAAAATGGGGAAGATCACAGAATGCAGCAGTGAATTTTTCACTTTCCTCACCACTTTATTCTTTCAGGATTTAGAAGAAAACGGACTCATGTTCAGAACACTATACATTGTGAAACTTGATCATCCTGGATTTTTTTTTGTCATTTGTATCTCAGAACTTTAAAATTTTAAGTTGTTTTCTGCATGGACCTTGTGAAAGAGAGGATGCTTTGCATACTTCTGCACTGCATCAGCATCTTATTAAAATGTGAAATGAAGGGACTGTACACTGAAACAAATGTATCTGAAAGCACAAGGTGATCATTTGTGGTGGTGTTCCCATTTGTGCTGGTCATGTCCCCTAACATCTGTGTTAACCATCAGTATTGGGAGGGTGAGAAGTGAATGTAAATGGTTTAAAAGCCTTACAGCTTAGCTGTTAATGATTGTATCAAAGAGCACTATCAGATTCACGTTAGTGAACAGAAAAGTGGCTATTACAATAGGAGGTAAATGTGGGAAAGACTTCTCTCTTCTTTTAAAGCAAGGAAAAAAAGCATCTCATTTAATGTGTAGGCATTTCTTGCCTTTTTTTTTTCTTTTGCTGGGCCATGTATGAGTTTACTGGCACTTTCATTTTGGATCTTTCCCCAAGTTGCTGTATAACTGTATGAAAGTATTCTTTTGAGTTGGATGCATTTATACAGATGAGGCAGACCTGGAGTCTGAAGTCGCTAAAGCAGCTAAAAATAAAGTAAAATAATAGCTGCAGAAACAATGTTGGTAGAGGATTATTTTTTCTTGAGAGTTGAGACTTGTAGACTTGCTGGTGAACTGTGCAGGAAATACTGGTTTCTAAAACATTTCTTATGGAAAACCTGTTGAGGTTTTTTCTTTTGGAATAGACAATATAAAACAATGTAAGATAGTGTTTGGAGTGTCAAAAGTTGGTTCTGACAGAACATTAAGATTGTGCAATGATAAAAGAAAGACTACTGTATAGTTTTGATGACAAAGAAGGTTTTGATTAAGGGTTGAGTACTTTACTGGAGTAAAACTGTATAAGCCTGCTCCCTTTGGATAAAGCTAGTGCTTACCTGTTTAAAACTTGTATTTAGCTTTTGTTTGAAATTGGAAAAAAAAATTGGAACTTAAATAAATTAGGTGAAAGACATTCTGTGTTTATTCATGGAAATCCTGTGAGTTTTACCAGTGTCTTACCTTTTGACAGTGTCACCTGTTGCAAGCACTAAAAAAAAACACACAAACTGTAAAATGATGTTACGATTAACATAACATAGTGGTTAAAGTTTTCTTTTTAGTAAACGGGGAAAATGTTTATTATGGAAAAGCAGCTGTTGGAAATCACAGAATCACTGGCATACTAGTGTGTATGCTACATGGGTATTTTTAGTTCTTTGGTCATAATATCCTACAGGTTAAACTGGAACAATCCAGAAAAACACTGCCTGAAAGCTGCATGCCTCACAAAGAAATCATATTGAAATTTCTGCTCTATAAAATCCCAACCAACGTATCTGCAGGTAGTGCTTAGTTTCCCAACTAGTTATACCATCTTCATGCCTGTAAGAGTTTACCTTGTAGTTACCTTGATTAGTGAAGCAAACATCTTCATGTTCCTGATGTAAGAAGTCACTAAAACAAATTTTAAAAACACAACAAAAACCTCCAATGTTGGCCTAGTTGGATTTGTACAGTTGTTTGTATAGTGTCAACCCTGGCATGATCCTTAATTTATAGTCTTCTGTAATACATAGAGAAATGAATTCAGTTTAGTTGCTTTGAGAGTCTTCTATGGGTTGCAAAAGATGCACTGGTTATTTGTTTATTCTTTGTGATGATGATCCCAGAGTTAAATGCAACTATGCTTTCATGGGAGAAGAATGTAGATGTGTAATACTGATTCTGGTAAATGATGTGTTCCACACAGCTAACAAATACATTTTTTGCTGTGCTGTCAGATGGAGTTGATGCACTTCTGCCTTTTGTAAGTAGTCAAGATAAAGGGAAACAAGAGACTCAAGGGCATCAAAATCTCATTGTATAGGAGTTCATATCATTGACCATCTTTAGAAGGCAACTCTCTCTGCCTGCAGAATGACTTCGGAGGAAAAAGATCAAGCTTAATGTTACTGTACTCTTAATGGAATTTCTAGTTTAATGTCAGCATTATTCTGTTAGCTTCTGTAACAAAAGAAAAGCACTTTTGGAATCAATGAAATCAATACCTTGCTTATGGTTTCAGGCCCTCTGTCATAGTGACTTGATAGGGTTCTTCAAAATGTAGGTTTAATCTCACAGTACTCATGCTTACAAAGCATAGTTTGTGTAAGCCTAATTACTTTTTTTGCAGGGGATGTGTGTAAATACATGAAGACCTCTCCATGTCTCTCCTGTACTGAGGACTCACATCTGGATACAGTATTCCAGGCGAGGTCTCTGCAGTGCAGTCTTCCCTCTCCTTTCTGACCATGTTGCTTTTGATGCATCTTGATCCCAAGATGTGGTTGCTTTTCCAGGCTGTGAGGGCTCGTGTTCAGCTTGTGCTCTTGCAGCTTAGAAAGCAAACTGTGAACTGCATATTGTACGTACTCCCCTCTTGAAAACTACAGGTTTCCATGCCCATTTCTGTTTTGCTGCCAGGAGAACAACATGTTTTCTTGTGCTTGTCATTTGCTGAGTCAGTAAGTTATGTGTAGTTAATGAAATCTGTTTCATATTAAGTCTGACTCTGAGGGTTGCATTAAAAAGTAGTCCTTTTAGTTGTTTGGGGGTTTTTTGCTTCTCAAATGTGAGATTACAAAAAGCACTGCTAAAGATTCATCGAAGATTGTTTTAAAGTTCCTGCCAGTAGTATGAAAGTTACTAAAGTCAGGAATTTATAGATTACCTGTTTCATGTATGTAAGCACAGACATGGCATAAATTTACTTATTCTGTAGCATTAGACTGGAAAAGCTGCTTCTATTTTCAGCTTTGCAGTTAGGGAAAGCAGGAAGTACAGAAACTGCATAAACCTAGAGATTCTGGGAAAGCTTTCTGGAATTAAGTAATGAGAGACAGCTATAATCAAATTCTGCAAAAATGAGAAAGTTTATCTGCTGAAGTTTTGAGGCAAATAAAATACTACGAAAGCTACAGTTCCATCTACACCTCAGGGGTCTGCTTTGTGGGTTTTTTTTTCCCTGCAGCATATATCAAACAATGTCCCTCACAGATGATGCACAGGGATAGATAAATCAGCTTGCTTCAGTTAACCTGCAGAGCAAGTGATAGGCAAGTGTAATTTTTGCATGACTGACTGAAATGCTTTTTAGGGCTGAAGATATCTATGACCTAGTTTTTCTGCTTGAAGAGTATTTACGTATGGGAAGGGCTTGTAATTTGAGTGCAATTGCTGTATGCTAAAGCCATGCTGAGCCTACGGCATCTGCTCTACAAGCTGCTTTTCTGGGCTCCTGAAAAACTATGTGAGCAGCTACTGTTTGTTTTAAGCAGAAGAATGTTAAAGATACAACTTCCTACTGCAGTGATACAGCCCAGATAGTAGTGTTTCAGCAAGCAGCAGTAGGGAGTTTTCAGGATAGCCAGTGCTTTCCTTTTTGTAAGGGCTTCCAGGTAACTTACTCTCATTGAGAACTGCATGTAGTGCAGTGTCCTACAGCTGTGGCTACTTGTGCCTGTGGGATTTAGTAAAGGCAGTCATTCAGTGAATGAACTATAAGATCACAAAGGCAGTAACTGTCAGCATGTTGTCCCTGAACTCTTAAGGAGTGAAATAGGAATCGGAGTCCCTCTTTCTCCATACCTGTGGAGAGTGAGGTAACAGTTTGGGGGGTTTCTGTTTCTACTGATCAGATGATTTCTGTAGACAGCAAAGTTGTGAAATGGCTAATGGTAAAATGCAATCAGAAGTTCTTACACATCTCCTGGCAGTGGCTCAGAGCCAGTCAATGCAGCAGAACAGAATTTAGCTGCTGTTCAGAACAGTTACTTAACAGCCTAATTCTAATTCTGTCCCCTTCCCCTGTTTCCTTTAAATGGCTTGCCAGTTTGAGAGTTGTAAACCAACTAACTCATAATTAAATTGGCAGAGAACCCTGGGTGAAGCTGTTCAGCCCCTTGTGGCAGGTGGCTTCAACTGAAAAACCAGCAATGAGTCCTGATGGGTACTGTTGAAACAGGTTTAACTTCCTTATTCTCCCTTCTATTCAGTTTGCCATTGACAAGCTGCCTCTAACCAAGAGTTGGAATCCTTAATGACAAAACCCTCTTCACAGCGCCTTGGCTGCAGTTGGTTTTTGTTCTGCTTAGCATCTGGGCTCTTGGTTTTAAACACTGGGAGGAATGATTCTTTGTTGATTCCTTGTTTTTCCAAGGGATCAGTTATGCAGAGTTCCACTGTGGCACAAATACTCAGGTGTCAGTCTGAATGTATTGATGCAACAGCCAGTAATAATGTGAAACCAGCATGCAACACTTAGCTGGCCAATATATTGCATACAGTGAGAAGCTGCAGTTGCTTTCAGATAAAGATGAACTGTTACATGATGTGTCATTCCACTATTTAAAAGTTTGATCCTATGAAAGAACAGATCTTTAGACATGTAGGAATGTTGTGTAGGTGTTTGATGTGTTGGAAAAAAAAAGCACCAATGAACTCCACAATATGGGATGGACAGTGTCATCTGTAAGGTATGATGGTTACAAGTCAGTAACTGGATATGTGATTTCTTATACAAATACGATGAGACTGTCTTGTGATGCTTGTCTCTTTATTTGCTTGTGAGGGAGTTATGCCTAAATCTGCAGTGATAGAACCAGGTCAACCCCACAGGAGATCTGTTTGTTCTGATGCCAGCTGGAACCACGTGTTATTCGTCATTATTATGCTAATTATTTCTCATTCTTTGCTTTCAGACCTAGCTAGAATAAGATGCAGATTTTCTAACAGGCAGGTTTAGAGTGGAAGTGGAAAAAGAACACTTCAGTATAAAAGTTTGGTACCTTATTCCCAAAGTAAGCCATCTTAATGGTAACAATTCCTTCAAAGGCCTTAAACTCTGTTATTTTGTGAAATAAATTATCAGCACTGTTGCTGACGGAGTGCTAACAGACAAGGATGTCTTAAAATAATGACTTTAATGAAATGCTTCTAAAACAACAGGCAGCATGTTAGTAATGCCCCTTTTGTTAATTAGGCAGCACTGAAATACCATGTCCCTCATGACAGACTATTCTGTTACAAGGAAGAAAAGAATTCGCTTGTAATTTCAGGAAGGTTTCCCTCTCAGCCTGCAACTGTCCTTGCCAGGCTTGAATAGGAACACAAGAATACTGTTTACTTGTTGACGTTTGCTATTCCTAATTTGCCCAGACACTTTTCAATTGCAATTATGTAGATATGATGAATACTATGTGATAGAATGAGACCATTTAACTGAGGCAACTAGTTTTGATGGGGGGAAGGTGTTAAATTGCACTGGGACAGTTATTACACAACTGCAGAGTTGCCCAGGCATGCAGCTAACTGAAGTGTGTTCTGAATCTTTCAGCACTCAAATTCACTGCCTCTGTCATTCTTAACCCTCTGTCTCTTGCTTTGATAATAGTCAAAATAGATGGTAACTGGTCTGCACAAACAGATGGTACCACATATTCACTGAATCTTCAGTTTTGAGAATGCACAAAAGAGTTTGAAATACATGGAGTGTATATTCAGTCATAAAGCTGAAATCACCAAAGACTCTGCTTGTATAACGAGAACAACCTTGCATACACTTTATCTGTGTATACTAATGCTTTATATAAACTTGCACTGTGCATTAGGCATTGCTATTTTTCTTGCAGTGTGGTAGATGAGAGGTGATCCTCTGCAAGGCTGTTTAAGGAAAGCAGTTAAACCTGTCAACAGCAGTGCAAGAGGAGACAAGTCTTAGCTGATGAAACAGCAGCTGAACTCTATAACGTTCAACATGTGTCAGACAACCTTCAACTTTGAGCCTGGCACAAGGCTTTCAGAAATCCCTTTCACACACTTCTGAGTCTCACCTGTTGATTTTTTTTAAATAAATATAGACAGAGCTTTAGTTAAGAGTTGGAAAGCTCTTATACTGCAGCTGAACATTCACAAACAGAATCAACGAGAAAATAAATTAAATAAATTTCTTGGGTGAATTGGTGTATGCCTGTTTCACTGCACCCACTTTCAGCCACTCTGTCCTAACAAACTTTTATTTGAAACAAAGAGATAAAAACCTTTAGAAAGGTAGTTTCAGAAAGCTTTATTGAAAAGATTTGAATGTGTTATGGCATCAGTGAATTATGCTTTGTATTAGCTTGCTTCACACTTTCCATAACATGAAATTAGTTGCTTAATAATAAGAACCCTTCACCACACCCCTACAGAACAGTTAGTAAGCATACGCTGTAGCATGTGAATACAATAGTCATAAGCCTGGAGAGTGGACTGCTTACTCACATGGCTACATAACAGCAAAAACAAAACAGATCCTTTAACACTGTCATGCTAGTAAACCATGTTGCTGTTCCAAAAGCTTTTTGTTATCTTGACCCTCAAAGTCCAAACAGATGCATTCTCCTGCTATTGTGTTGTTTTTCATCCCCAAATAGGCTTTAATTTTAGGCATTTAACCACTTTGATGGTAATAAATTTGTTCACTTATCACGGAACAGAGACAATTCACGTTATACAATCAAAAGCGTGGAGATTGTCATCGCATAAGTGAGAAAATTGTTCTAGAGGGGATTCTTAACCCAATGTTATTATTTTTGAAATTTGCTGCATTACTGTCCTATATACTTTGTATGTCTGCCCTGCGCAATTAACTTTCCTGTTGCCTTATTTGTTAGATCCACGCTGGCAAATGCAATATTTCTTCCTTGCTTCAAAATCTGAGCCGTAATCAGTACTTCTTCTCCAATTTTAGCAGCTGAGGTATATCTTAAATGAAGAAGAAAATGAACAAGTAAGGATCTGTACAGAGCACAAATCCAAATTTATTTCTTCATTTTAGATTATCACAATTGGAATTAAGCAAAACCAAGTAATAGTCACATATCCTTATAACTGCCTGCTTGAAAATCCCTGCTGCTTAAAGTCCTTGAACTCCTCCAGAGTACTGCAGTGGTAGTTTGGTATAACATCCTCTGAAGAAATGGAGGACAAGAAGAAACCCACCACTTGGTTCTCATGAAAAGTCCTTTCTGGACCAGGAAGAATTAGGTACCAAAAATCTGATACAAGCTCAACCCTAAGTCCTATTCTAGCCACTGCAGGCTCCTCGTGGCATTTCTAAGCCAGTCTGGCTGGTTTCTGCAGCATATCTCTGCAAGTAACATATCCAGAAGGTCATTTCTGTGTAGAATCTAATCACAGGTTAACTGCTTCTCATAGCCTGGTCAGAGAAAAGCCATAGAAATTTGGGAGGCTTTCAAAACTTCCCCGGTTTAACTCCATTTCTATTCATTACATGACTTTTTGTTTTATTTACATAAGTGTGTGGACATGCTCTGAAAACACACTGTCCAGGAATTAAGAAGAAATTTTACCACAAAAAACTGGGAAAGAATCAGGAGGAATGTGATCCAGCCCTGACCTGAGGTAAGGGAACGCTACTCATATACTTGCACAGGAGACTGTATAAGTGCTGGATACATAACTTCATCAACCAGATCATTTTTATGCACAACACCATGTTGATCACATCTCATGCTGCTGTTGCACAAGCCCCATTAGTTTTCAGGGGGGCAGGGTCTCAGCTCCCAGAGGCTGTTGATCCTCTTGTGATTTAAATAAATAAGCCTTCTGTTTCTCCCTGTTCATTCCATTACTGAAACATTGAAACAGTTTTTTCATGATAGGATCTTTTTTAAAAGCTTTCTCTAAAGGAAAACAAGGTGGAGTATAGCTATATTTGATATCCAATATCAATTGTTCATTGAAAGCAGTACTTCACTGCAGTACTTTAAGTTTTGTTCGACCCTCATATTTCCTAAACTTTATGCTACTTGATTATTTTGCATCACCTCCAGAGAGTATTTTCTTGAGATTTTAGCTTTTTATAATTGAGCAGGCATTTTTGACGGTGTAAATAATTAAAACATTGGTCTCTCATTACACTGCTGCAAGGCAAAATTAATCATGTGTACATTTCAAGTTTTCATTTCCAGAAATTTCCTGGTCATCACAGTGTCAGTGTAAAGCTCCAGTCCTACATTACCAGTGGGAAATCAGAAGGCACTGGGAGAAAGGAAGGCATCTGGTAAATATACAGATCACTCCCCACATATTTCCCTACATTTTTTTAGGCAGTTGTAATGAGGAGTTATTTCTCCAAGATTTTTAGTGCTCAGTACTAGTTATTTGTAGGACTACTTTAGTAGTCATAATCTCTTCAGTGGAAGTAATGAAGCAAAGCTGACAAGCTGTAACAGCACGATCAAAGAAGGTTTCACACTTTTTTTTTTTTTTAAAGGTACTATTTAAAAATTGCATTACAGGAAGAACTATTCTCAACCATCAAACACCCTAGAGTAAAGGAATCTTCTGTCAGTGAGAAATTCTGACTCAATTTTTAATTTATCCTCTGAGTATAAAACAGAGCTAAAATGTTTCCTTTTTTAATCTTGGACTAACTCTGAAAAAGGGTTTATTGAAAGCTGTTTCAAGCCTAGATTTTGCTATTTGAGGCCAATAACGAATCTGACCAAGCAAAGAAATAAGCCAATTGTGTAAGACTAAAATTTACCATATACCACCCCTTTAACATTCTGTGAATGAATGGGTAGCAAATAAATAAAAACTGACTCAAATTTTGCAGATATGCTTCCCTCCACCCACAACTTAGTTTATTAAAAACAAGACTTCAGATGCCTTTTTAAAGCAGGCAGTACTACTCCATTACGCTTCCGCTATGTGTTAATACCTTGTCAGGGAAGAAAAGTTAGTGCTAGGCACAGTGGAAGATACCTACGTGATGTTCATGTCCACGCTGACCCCAGGTAATGCTCTTTCTGTGTACAGCAATGCAACTGTTGATACCACGTCCACAAGCGTGGCTGTCAAACCTCCGTGTAACGTGCCACCTCTGTTGGTATGTTCCTCCTCCACTTTCAATTCACACACAACTTTTCCTGGATTTGCAGAAAGAAGCTTCATCTGTATAACCAAAAATGGAATAAAGAGCTTACTGACAGAGTACCAACTCCAGGTGTTGCCCTGAATCAAGCTGAAAGGATTATTTTGGATTCATGAAACAGATGGAAAGACATAAAACGCAGTAATTTAACTGTCACAATAGATGTTTCCATAAACTTTGAGCTAATCCCATTGGCCTCCTTGAACTGAAATCTGCATTCCTCAGCACAATCATCCAATGCTGAATCATAATGTACTACAGCACCATAATTTATGTACACACTTCTGTAGTGTTATGTAGAATGGTGTTACACAGGAAATCACAGTGCATTTGTGGAACTACACTTCCCCATGTAATCAACAAAGGCAGCTGGATTTTTGAGACCAAGAAGTTATTGCATTTCAATTGCTTAAATTATTTTACTCTAGTCTCCATTTAATAGTACTACATTCAAATTCTGAAGACAGATGCAGACCTGAGATAAGTACTATATATATATATTTATGCTTGTAGCAAGTACTTCGAAGAACCTTCAGACTGCCACAAGTGAAACGTGGACATAATATTTACTGTAACTCCTACTTTTTTTTTTTTCCTGATTTGTTTCACCAAAGAATTGAGGGTTTTTTTTTTTTTTTTTAAATTTCAGTGTTTCCATAACATTTCAAATGGATTGACTTATTCTCTTTACTCTTAAGATTGAAATGTCTCCAGTTTCACTACTGCTTAGTTATAATGTGATATAAGAGCTCAATTCCAGCTAAAGTCCCTGATAGGACAAAGTTTATGCAAAATTTGCAGAAAAATGATAGCAAGATAAGTGGTAACTGAGTACTCAGTCCAACTTCAAATGGAAAAAAAAAAAAAGGGGGAAACCACTGAGGCAGTGTTCTAGTGTAAAAATAGCACCCTGACCAATGAAGATCCCAAGCCTATGGGGAACAGCCATGCTATAATACACTGTTTCAGACATAATTTGCAATCAAGGTCTTTTCCCAAGGCCTGACACTGGCAGCAGATGATAGTTTCCACTGCCTTTAGGGAGCATTCCAATCTATCAGCACGTCAAGGATGGCATCTAGTCTCTGATCTGGCACTCATGCCTTCTCCCCTGACAGCAGTAGTTGGGTACTTGAATGCTTCTAGGACTTACAGAGCTACAGCTGCTAGTTTGTACATCTCCAAAGCCTCTGTGCCTGTCCTCCCATACATCTCAGTGAGCTGCTTCAGCTCCCAGTCACATCTGTGATGCACCACTTTTGAGAATGGGCTTAAAACCCACAGTTGTTAAGCCCTACGTGGATACCACGTTGGAATTAAAACAGAAAATTCCTCTGATGCTAAAGCTGAACAATCTCTAAAGCTGAAAAGTCTCAGCTTAAAATCTGTCCTCTCCAGAACAGGAAAAAAATCTAAAGTAAGAAAGGCTTCAAGTAGCTCCCAGAATCACAGGATCTTAGGGGTTGAAAAGAACCTCTGGAGATCATCTAGTCCAACCCCTGCTGAAGCACTGATAAGATCCCCTCTCAGCCTCCAGGCTGAACAAGCCCAGCTCTCTCAGCTTTTCCTTGTATGGGAGAATGCTCCAGGCTCTTAATCATCTTTGCAGCCCTCCACTGACTCTCTAGAAGTTCCCTGTATTTTTTGAACTGGAGAGCCCAGAGCTAGACACAGTATTCCAAATGTGGCCTCCCCAGGGCAGAGCAGAGGGGGAGGATCACCTTCAACTTGCTGGCCATGCTCTTTTGCTTGCACTCCAGGATACCATTGGCCTTCTTGGTCATGTGGGCACGCTGCTTGTTCATGGCCAACCTGCTGCCCACCAGGATCCCCAGGTCCCTCTCTGCAGAGCTCCTCTCCAGCAGGTCAACCCCTAACCTGTACTAATGCATGCAGTTATTCCTCCCCAGGTGTAGGGCTCTGCACTTGCTCTTGTTGAACCTCATCAGGTTCCTCTGTGCCCAACTCTCCAGCCAGTCCATGTTTCACTGAATGGCAGCACAGCCTTCTTGCTGAGGGTGTGTTGTGTCCTTTCATCCAGGTCACTGATGAAGCTGTTGTATATGACTAGACCAAGTACCAACCCCTAGGGAACACCAGTATCTACAGGCCTCCAACCGGACTCTGAGCTGCTGATCACTACTCTGAGCTCTGTCAGTCATAGAACCATAGAAAGATGTGGGTTAGAAGGGATCTCAAGGATCAAGTACCAACCCCCTGCCACAAACAGGATTGCCAGACACTACATCAAGTGCTAGATCAGCCCAGGGCCCCATACAACCTGGCCCTAAACACCTCCAGAGATGAGGCCTCTCTGGGCAACCTGTTCCAGCACCTGACCACTCTCTCAGTAAAAAACTTCCCCCTGACATATAATCTAAATCTCCCTTCCCTTAGTTTAAAAGCATTCCCCCTTGTCCTATTACTATCTACCCTTGTAAAAAGTTGATTTCCTTCATGTTTATGAATTCCTTTTAAATACTGGAAGGCCACAATGAGTCAAGCCTGCTCTCAATCCACCTGGCTGTCCACTTGTCTATCTCACACTTCTTAAGTTTACCTATAAAGAGACAGTGTCAAATGCATTACTGAAATCAAGGTACACAACATCTGTTGCTCTCCCCACATCTACTCAGCTGATTATGACAACAGCAGATGCTTGAAATTAAAACAAAATTATTATTTTATACCATTTTGCTTCTGGAAGTGGGTTTCAGAAGCAGTCACAACATTTCTCAAAGAAAGGTAAGAAGCCTGCCTCTCTAGGCTGAATTCAGTAAGTTACCTTTTTTAGCTGAGTGCTGCACCCATTATCGAATTAATGGAATTTTAAGGTGCAAGAAGAGTAGAATCAGCAGAGTGAAGATGTCAGTAGGAACTGATTGGAGTCATCATAACTAAAGGACTCTTTACAATTCTGTGAGCTTCCTAAAGCATTATACTTTCTATACATAAGATCAAAATGTCTAGGGGAAACATAATGATAGTTGCTTTCATAGAATCATTTGAGTTGGGAGGGACTGTTAAAGACCATCTAGTCCAATTCCCCTGCAGTAAACAGGGACACCTACAGCTAGATGGAGTTACTCAGAGCCCCATCCAGCCTGACCTTGAGCGTCTCCAGGGACAGGGCATCCACAGACTTCCTGGGCAACTTGCTCCAGTGCCTCACCACTCTTACTGTAAAAAACTTTTTCCTCATATCCAGTTTAAGTCTCTCCCTTTGAAAACAGTAACTTTCTTTAAGGTAATGGAGCTGACACTGAGAACACTGCTTTTGCTATCAGTTTTGCTCCTCCGTCTAAAAAAACAGAGGTTCTGGCATGGCTGTTTGCTCAGGTGCATTCACTTCATCTCTGCACGGCAGGGTTCCACACACACATAGACAACAGAACAGCAGAAACAGAACCCTGGCTCTGCAAAATGTAAGGCCCTGAAACCTGCTTTGTGGGAGAACACGTCAGCTGCACTACCATGCACTGCAATACGCAATAGAAATAGTAACACCATCTTAACTATGTTTTAATTGTACTGTAGCATCACTTTATTGTAATATCCCTTCTATAATTCTGTGACCGCAGAGCAGCACCAGACCACCACATTTCTGAACACTGAGCCTTGCCGGCAGCTCGCAGACCTGTGACACGTTTGCGTAACTTCAAGGTGTCTGTTATAATGGCCTCTTGTTTTTACTTTTAAGCAGAGAGCAGTAATAACGTGTCAGCACTTCACAACCATAGAAGTGACCTTGGCCACGGGCATTACGAAGGAAGCGTTAAGCACACTACTCCCATTTCCCACCGCCCTGGGGGAGCAGGGACTCGGCAGCCCGCCCTACCTTGCCGAGCACCCTGTCGAAGCCCTCCGACTGCACCATGTACTTCATGGCATCTCGCAGGCCCTCCACCGTGAAGCGCATGCTGCCCATCCCGGTCGCGGCGCCCTGTGACGGCGGCGCGGCCCGGAACGGCTCGGCCCCGCTTCCGCCCCGCCCGCAGAGCCATGGAGCTGGAGGCGCGGGCCGAGCCACGCTCCCCGCGGGCGGGGCGCGGGGAGGAGGATGAGGATGAGGAGCTGCGGCTCGCCAAGCGGAGGAAAGTGCTGTGCTCTGAGTTCGCCGCCGTCACCAGCAGCGACGAGGCGGTGGCCAGCGGCTTCCTGGCGAACAGCGGCTGGCACCTGGAGGTAGGGCCGGCGGCGGGGGGCGGCGGGAGCGGCCGCCATTCGTCTGCACTCTGCCTCTGTGTTTCAGAGGGCGCTGGACGCTTACTTCGAGGCGCCGATGAACGAGCAGGCGGCGGCAGGAGGGGGCTCGGCGGGGCCCGGCAGCTGGTGAGCGCCCTTGGTGGGGACAGAGGGAAGAGCCCCTCTGGTCTTTATAGCTGAGAACAAGCTGTGTTTGGTAACTGCTCGACCCGAAACCAGGTGAGGTCGGCCTCTTCTCACAGGTGGCGGCGATGGGATGAGAGGGAATGGCCTCAAATTGTGCCAGGAGACGTTCAGGTGGGATATGAGGGAGAATTTCTTCTCCGAAAGAGCGGTGAGGCAGTGGTTGCCCAAGGGAGGTGGTGGGGCCACCATCCCTGTGGGTGTTCAGAACTGTGTGAACGTGGCACTGAGGGATGTGGTCAGTAGGTGTGTGATTCTATGGCTCTATAGAACATATATCTTTTTTCATGTAACTGTATGAAAAAAGGAAGCTTACCAAGCATCATTGTTGCCATCCACCTTCTCCACAGCAAGTCAGAAGATGACTGCGTTGAACTGGAGGCACCTTTTCAAAGAATCATAGAATGGCCTGGGTTGAAAAATGATCATCTAGTTTCCACCCCCCCTGCTATGTGCAGGGTTGCCAACCACCAGACCAGGCTGCCCAGAGCCACATCCAGCCTGGCCTTCAATGCCTCCTGGGATGGGGCATCCGTAACCTCGTTGGGCAACCAGTGCCAGTGTGTCACCATCCTCTGAGTGGAAAACTTTCTCTTTTCTCCCCTGTTGTCTTTGCACTGCAGCTTCTGCCTTGAGCACGGTGTACAGGTGGGGCTCTGTGGGCTTCCTGGCAAGAGAAGAGCACAACAGACTTCCTAATGTTTTGCTGCACAGTGTTTGGCTTCCCAGCCTGCTTTTAGCAAGCTGCTGCTCAGCTCTGTGGTTGCACAGCTCACGGTTGGCTGGGACTTGTGTGGCAGTGTAATCTTGCACTGTTAGTTCAGTACAACATAAGAAAACAGTACTGTGTTCTAGGAAGCATAAAAGATTTAGGGTTGGAACAGGTCTCTAAGATTATCAAGTTGAACTGTCAGCCCACCCCCACCATGCCCACTAACCATGTTTCTCAGAGCTGCATCCACACAGTTTTTGAACACCTCAAGAGTCGGTGACCTCACCACCTCCCTGGGCAGCCTGTGCCACTACCTCACCTTATTTCAGAGAAGAAAATTTTCCTAATATCCCACCTGAACCTCCCCTGGCACAACTTGAGACCATCACCTCTCATCCTGTCACTGTTACGTGGGAGAAGAGGCTGACCCCCACCTTGCCACAACCTCCTTTCAGGTCATGGTAGAGAGTGATAAGGTCTGCCCTGAGCCTCTTTTTCTCTAGACTGCATAATACCAGGGAATAGGTATTATCAAACTCCAGTATCCCAACAGCTGAAACAGACTTAGGTATACTATTGAACATCATTTGTTTTACATTCTCACTTTACTAAAGGAATTTGCTTTGGACCGTGCTTCATTGGTAGAGTCCTCTTTAGGGGCTTTGTTCCCAGGCAGTGACTGGATTGGGCACTGGTACCTTGACAGTGCTTTTCTGAAGTGCAGTTTGGAGTGAATGTTCCCCAAGAAAATGACTATCAGTTTGTTGCATGTTTTTTTATTGAGTTTGCACATGCCCAAGGGGAGCTCAGAAACCTCAGCTGCATTATAAAGATGGGTTCATAAAAACAAAGGCTTGGCTGCAGTCTTTGTTTTTAGTATGATGGAAAATGTTTGCAGATCTTACATGCGCAGTCTGCCCCTGGCACAGTGAAAGAAATGAATTCCTCAGGTGCATTGGATAGAGTTGGTTGCCATCCAATTAATTTAATTTGGAATGGTAGATGTTATTATATGTATAAAGAGGAGGAAGAAACTCTTACTTCTCCTGTGTACTAAGGCTCCAATTGATTAAAGTTACTGAACTTCTTCTGAATTGCAATAAGAGATCACTTCACGTTAACTTACTTGTTGAGAAAATTTTATACGGTTGTCTGTAAGTTGTGATGAGTGTAAAACATTGTATTTTAGAAGATAAGAGAGGCAAATGCAGTAAGAATAATATTATGCATGTTGACAAACAATGTCTCTTTAGTATCGACCTCACAGCAGATGAAACTGCAAGTAATACCAGCAGCAGCAGTGCAGGCTCCAAGCAACAAGATGATGACAGCAGCTTCTCGCTGATAACCTGGAACATTGATGGGCTGGACCTGGGAAATCTGCAGGAGCGAGCTAGAGGTGTCTGTTCTTACCTGACATTGTAAGCATGGCTTTGTCTTTGTATTGTTATGCATCCAACTTAAAGTGAGCTTCTCATTTTAGATAATGAAAAAATCTTCATGTCCAAATTATCTTCAAATTAGATGCAAAAATGCATTTGTTGTACAAATCCTAAGACTGATTGGAGGAGGTGTGAGCCTGTGCATTTCAAGTTAAAGACTTTGCAGTGTCTAAAAATCTTTTGGTAACGAACAGTATTGCTTACATCAAGTTTATGCCTTTGTCAGGAGCATGCTTCACACTTCCATCTTGTACAGGAAAAGAGGGTGAAACTGCTTGTTTACTTCATTCTGGTGGTATGAGTAACTTCATTCTGGAGCAAAGTGTTTGGAGGACCACCAGCATTCTTTGTTTATTTGATTTGCTATTTGAAAAATGGATCCCTTTCCAGTATTGTTATTTATCTATAAAGGATGATAATGTGCAAGCTAATATGAAAGCAGTAGTATCTGTGATTGCCTTTTATAGTTGTACCATTTGAAGCTTCCTGTTAATACTCTTATGATTAATTTGATAATTATATAAATTGGTGAGTCTTAATATGGTAATTTATCAGTGTAAATTAAACTGGTTTAAACAAATGTTAATTGGTTCTTCTGAACCCAGCAGAAACCCTTAACTAAACTGATTTTTCTCTTGATTTCTAATAATATGTTTTGATTTTTTTTTTTCTGTAGAAGTGATCTTACAAGCAAGTGGCGACTTCTTACACAGTCTAATAGTGATAGGACAAGGGGGAATGGCTTTAAGCTGAAAGAAAATGAGATTAAGTTAGATGTTAGGAAGAAATTCTCAGAGTGCAGTGAGGCGCTGGCACAGCTACCCAGAGAAGCTGTGGTGCCTCATCCCTGGAGGTGCTCAAAGCCAGGTTGGATGGGGCCCTGGGCAGCTGAGCTGGTGGGGGGCAGCCCTGCTCATAGTACGGGGTGGGGCTGGGTGGGCTTTGAGGACCCTTCCAACCCAAACTGCTCTGTGATTCTATGAAGTTTGTCCTCTGACTGCTTAGAGAAGGTCTATTCAGCAGTGTATAAAAAAGGACAGCTACAAAAGAGCACTTCCAGGACTCCTACCCCACAAGTGCTGCTGTTACTGGTGGCATAGCTCTAAGGAACTTGGCATTGACAAATGGCAGATTAGCTGAGACGGATATGTTGTAAAGGAATGAGATGGAGGGTAGAATTTCCTAGAAATCTTATCTGTGGCATAATATGATCCAAAGCTGCTTTTCAGCTGTTTATGTTAAATTCCTTGCGTATGTAATAACTGAATAATAATTGAAAATTGTGCAAATGTTTTCAAGATTAAAGGAAGTAGGGCGTTTTACTGCCATGTTGGTACTGTGCCCATAATAGTTATTGTTTTCTGCCATAAGCATCAGTGGTATCTCTATGTGCTACTATATGTCATTAGAGAGCATCTTAAAATATCTAGGAAGGTGAGGAAAAAATCCACCTGAAATCTCTGACCCTGTTCTGTTTGACATCAGAGTGTAATAATGTTATTTTTCAGTAGATAACTTCAAAACTTGTTTTGCTGATTTCAGATACAGCCCAGATGTCGTGTTTTTACAGGAGGTTATCCCACCATATCTCTGTATTCTGCAGAGGAGAGCAGGCGGTTACACCATTATTCCAGGTATGAAGTAAACCTCAATTTCTTAAGACAAAAACTGGAAAAAACAGTTTTGTTCTGTCTTCCTTGCCAAAAGCTCCAACCTGCTGTAGCAACTGAAAAGAGTAAGATGAAGAAGAAAACACTTAAATTACTTGCTCTATTTTACTACCTGCATATAGTTGGATTCAAATTACTCCCATGAAAAGTTTGCTTGACAGATGGTCTTTGTTTTGTATTTTTTTTCCCACATTTTGAAAAACTGATAGCAAAATTATCCCAAAAAGCACCATAGATGAGTAGTTGCTTAACCATTTGTATTAAAAGCATATTCAGACCACTGTTAAGAAACTTTTGAGTAATCATTTTGTACATCTTGCAAATTAAAATTTTTCTCCCAAATGATAATAAAGAGATCTGTGGAAGAGCTTTAACTTTATCCTGTGGCAGAAGATGTCCTTGACCTTTTATTTGCCTGTTCCTCTCCAGGTAATGTAGATGGCTATTTCACTGCCATGCTGTTGAAGAAATCGAGAGTGAAAGTACTAAAACAAGAGATAATACGTTTTCCAACCACTTCCATGATGAGGAACCTTTTGGTTGTGCATGTGAGTCAGTCTGTCAGTACTACAGCTGTGTGTCTGTCTTCAGAACAATAGAATCACAGAAAGGTTGGGCTGGCTTTATTCGATGGCAGTCTTAAACAGCGCATAAATGTTTCTTCAAACATATGATTCAAATTGCATTTGGTACTAATAAAATTAAGTCTCTTATGTTGCTGGCTGTACTTTGTTTTCACATCTGATAACCTCTGAAAACAAATTAGAAGCCTGCTATCTTCCTCTAAGGCACTTCTCCAATTTATAACAAATATTAACCAGAGCTCTGTCGTTCATTAATTTATTTTCTGATTAGTTTTTGTCTATAATCTTCATATCACAGTGTGGAAAATAGCATACCTGTTTTGTTTCATGTACAGGTGAACATATCTGGTAATGAACTTTGCCTAATGACTTCTCATCTGGAGAGCACTAGAGATCACTCAAAGGAGCGTATGAAGCAACTGCAAATAGTGTTAAACAAAATGCAGGAGGAGTCTGAGTCCACTACTGTTATATTTGGGGGAGATACAAACCTCAGAGACAGCGAGGTAAACAGAAATAAGCAACCTGATTAATTTGGGAAGGTATTCTGGTAAAATCTTGTCAGACTTTTCTATTATCTTCATGAGAAACAAACTGCACAGCAGAAATCTGCAACTTCTTCTTCCCCTTTTTAAGAGCTAGAAGCGGTATTGCTACACTGTGGCTTTGTTACAGCTGAGATGTTGTTGTTATATACACAAAAGGAATGTTTTTTTTTCCCATAACACAAAATGCATAATTCTCAAAATGTATTTCTGAGATGTTTCAGCTTTCAAAGTATCTTCTGATTTTGAGAACTTGATCTTTTTATTAATTCAGCTCTCTGCTTCTAGGGACTTAATGCTAAAAAAGAATGAATGAAAGAAGAAGGTGCTCTGGAGAAATAGATCTTGGGAGTTTAAAATCCAGCCTCTTCATGGAGACATTCAAGATTAGAAGCCATTTTTGGCTGCTCATGTTAAGAGTGAAATTTCTGCATTATTAGTAAAAATTCTTTTTTCCCTAATATTGAAATTCCTGCTATGAGCAGGAATGACCTTATTTCAGAAAACATGGCCTTGACCCTCATGCCTGATTTCGTAATTGAACTCTTTGCTTTGTAGCATTGAAGTCTCATGGCACCCTGGCATGTATCAGGAATGGTGTGGTGAGCAGGACTAGGGAAGTCATCCTGCCTCTGTACTCAGCTCTGGTGAGGCCTCACCTCGAGTACTGTGTTCAGCTTTGGGCACTTCAATACAGAAAGGACATTGAGGTGCTGGAGCAGGTCCATAGAAAGGCAACAAGGCTGATGAAGGGCTTGGAGAATATGCCCTATGAGGAGAGACCAAAGGAACAGGGGCTGTTCAGTCTGGGGAAAAGGAGGCTAAGGGGAGACCTTATTGCTCTCTTCCAATATCTGAAAGGTGCTTACAGCGAGAGCGGGGTTAGTCTCTTCTCACAGGACAAAGGGAATTTTTCTATCAGGAAAAACTATACTGGAAGGGTTGTTAAGCACTGGAATAGGCTCCCCAGGGATGTGGTTGAGTCATCATCCCTGGATGTGTTTAAAAACCATTTTGTTGCGGTGCTCAGGGACGTGATTTAGCGGAGGGTTGTTAGAGTTAGGGTAGTATGGTTAGGTTGTGGTTAGACTTGATGATCTTGAAGGTCTTTTCCAACCTGAGCAATTCTATGATTCTATGATTCTATGCTTTGGATTTAGAAAAGTATGACAAAAATTGGTCACGCTGTAGAATCTACTGAGGAATAACACAATTTAGAAATTCCTCTAGTAGCTTTGTTCTTCACGACTCGTGTTTTGCAGGGGAAAAAAGCGATATTTTGACAGCTCAGTTCTCTTTTCTCCCTTCAGGTGGCTAAACTAGGTGGCTTACCTAAAAACATCACGGATATCTGGGAGTTTCTGGGCAAACCCCAACACTGCCGCTACACGTGGGACACAAGCTCCAATACCAACCTGCGCATAGAGAGTAAATGCAAGTTGCGGTTTGATCGCCTTTATTTTCGGCCTGCAGCAGAGGGGGGACATATCATTCCACGAAATATGGACTTGATTGGATTAGAAAAACTGGACTGCGGCAGATTCCCAAGTGATCACTGGGGTCTTCTGTGTCACTTTGATGTGATATTATAATGAACAGGGCTTTTGTTGTTTGGTTTTAAGGGTTCTGTTTTTAAGAAAGTTTACACTCCCAGTTTAAGCTGACAGTTGACAGTTTCAACCATAGCAAATTCTCTGCTTTTGGCTCCTGCTGGAATGTCTTCAGTTAATTGCCAGGCTCCTTTTTCCTCACTATACGCATCTGCTGTTGAATCATGGCTTTAAATATATATTTTTAACAAAACCAAATTTCAGTTCTAAAACAGGAGATAAGAACAAGTAAAATCCGTAAATGTACTACCTGATTTTAAAGATGCTTTTATTTTGTCCTGTATTATAAGCTCATAATAAATGCTGCTTCTTTTTTAAAATACTCTTCTGATGACTGCTTTGTTTTGTAACTATTTTCATCATCCTTTACAACAGTGTCTTTTGTGAGACGTACTGTGTCAGTTTCTGAAGTTTGTATTGTAAATACATATAGGCCCCCTCAGGCAGGACAGTAAGGGAACTTTAGAAAGAATAGCTAGGTTCTCACAAACTAATAGTTTCTATCTAAGAATTAAGCCAATATTGAACAGATTTGAGAATGATGTGCTTTCCTTGTGATGTAAAAAGGCTATATAGTATATATAGAAGTTTTATGCTTGAAATGTTAAATACCCTCCTTTACATTAATATAAAGCTGCTTTATTTATATTTATATTAATAAATATAAAGTAGCCATATATTAATATAAAACTGGATAGGAGTTTCAGGCTTGAGATTTTATCATTCTCGTGAGCTTGTAGAAACTGAATACTCTTACAAAAGCAGCTCAGGATTTAGCTGACTTTGCAAAAGATAAGCAGGCTTTCTAACTCAAGAACTGTGTAATCAGCCTTGTGAAAGCCATCATTTTATAGCTGTACAAAGTACTAAATGGTGTCATTAAAAAGGAATTCTTGCTTCTAAATTTCAAGCGTGAAGTTCAGTGCACAGGCATGGAGAGGTAGCACAGACAACCCGTGTCGATGGTGCAAAGTGCACCGAACGTCTGTACTAATGCACAGTGTTCTTACTTACAGGCACTGACAAAGTAATGTTTGGTCTTAAGCCAAAAGCTTAAAAATGACTTGTGTTTTCCTGGGAATTTGTGGCAGGTTGGCCCCAGCTGGCCCAAATAGCAAACAAATAAGAAAGCTCACGGTTCAAGGAAATATTCAGGGAAGTTATTTATCAATTACTCTTATGGGCAAAACAGGCTTGACTTCCAGAAATTCACTTAAATTCATTACTGATTAACATATATCCTTAATTACTAATTCAGGAAGAAGGATAATGAATACCTTTCCCCCCCCCTTTCTCAGGCTCCATATCACTCCAGGCATTTTTGAGGAGTTGTTTGTGTACTGAATGACTTAAGACTGCAAGGTGGGTTATTTCTGTCACTAACATGATTGGAGGAAGTTTTTTCTGTCCTTCTGTAAACAGGCTGTGAATAACACTGAAGGGTGAAGCCAGCATGGGGACAGCATGACTGGAAAATGCAGGATGTCAACAAAAGGCCCCGTCAGACCCATGTCAAACTAGCAGAAGTGAGAGATCCAGCAGTGAGCAGAGCCAGAATTATATCTTGTGATATTAAGTGGCTTAGTCTAATGCATCTGTCTGGATGCTCCAATCAGCCAAGCATCAAGGAAGATGAAAAGTGTGTGTGAATGTTGCACTACCATCTTACAGTGCTGCTTGTAGGCCAAAAAAGCAGAACTTGGCCCAAGATAGGGCAGTGGAAGGTGGATTTGTGGGTTCTTATCCTAAAACAGTGCAGATATTTAACCAGCTTCTCACAACAAGGATAGAGATGCCTGAGATACATACGTTTTTCACAGGAGGCAGCCTTACTAAACAAGGATATATGGTATGATGGCTATTTTTTGCTTACGTGGATGCATCCTCTGCATTGTTTTGGAGAGTATGAAAAGGCAGCAGGTGTTCTAGGTCTTTAATTTGAAAAAGAAAGAAGGAAAAAAAGTTCAGAGCAGTGTGTGACTTAACTCAGTGCTTAGCTTCCAGATTCATCTCTAGCATTAACTTCGTGTCCTCTGCTTTGATCAGCTGTCCTTAACCTCTGAAATAGTGAGTGGGCATGGGCATTTTTATTGGAACAAGCAGAGACATAACACTGTAAGAGCCATTTCACTTTTCTAATTATAAAAGTAGGCAAGAGGAAGTCTGTATTTAGCGTAATTAGTGGTTAATCATTCTTTCAGAATGAGGAAATTATGCTTTACAGCCTTTAAAACTCTTCTTGGACTACATTAAAAGCAATCATACTTAAAAAATTAAGATGACGTAAATGCTGCATGTTTCACTGACTATTGAATGTGAAGCACTACATCTTTAATAATTAAATACACTTTGAACCACTTAGTAAGTACCCAAATTACTGGCAATCAAGAGCAGCAAGAGCCCTAATATTAATTTGTCTCTTAATTTAATCAGTGATGTAAAAGGTAAAATATCTGCTGAATATGTCAACTAAAACCTGTGAGATAACTGAATGTAAGTATTTAATGGGGTAGAAACAGCAAAGTAAAATAAAATAAAGGATTTCTGGGGCTACAACTTGCAACTTGATTTCTTCTCCTGTTTCAGCAATGTAATACTATGGCATCTATACACTGGGTGACAGTGACTTCATTTAACTTCATTAGGGCATATGCCCCATGTTTTGTGTTCACTAAAAGTATAAGGAAGATTAATTAATGAAGACTCATAAATAACATCTATTTATTTATTGGAGAGAAGACATGCAGCTCAAAGAGAAGAATCCCAGAGACTGCAAAGCCATCAGTTTAATGCTGCCACTTTGGAAACAGTGAAGAAAACAGGATAGGCTTAAATGGATGTTGGAGATCATAGGCGCTCTCAGTGTGTTATAATGCAAGTAAGTTGAGGAAAGGTCAGACAGAAACTTTATGATCATGGTGAGAGCACATTTGGACAGGACAGTCTTTTCTGTTCCTCTGTTCTCTGTACGAACATTGCTACACTACAAAAAATGCATACAGTTTCTGCAATAACTCAGTAAAATCCTGTGTACATGTGACAATAAATCAACCTACTGACATAAACAGATACAGTGAAACTACAGCTTTGGAAAAACTACAGCTAAGGAAAAGGATGTGAGTTGGGGCTTCCCCACCACCAGTGCTCAGTGGGAACATTTGACATTGATGGGGTGCAGATCAGAAGCACCCCATCAAAACACCTCTGGCCATCCAGCAGTGAGTCCATGTGCTTCCTATTGTTAAAATAAAAAGAAGTCTATTGTTAAAAAATACGGGAAAGATGGGAATAAGAGGGAAAGTAAAATAAGTAAAAAAACAGCTGTATGCTACGGAGATGATATTTTTATATCTTCAGGAAAAACTTTTTTTCATCATTCTGTAGCACTTGCAAAATACCATTTTCCTGAGTTAAGTGCTGGCAATTTGTTTGAGATGAGGCAGGCCCCAACAACACAGCAGAGCATAGGATGTGGGACTTGGACAAGCTGGTGTTGCAAATTAGCATGGAGTCCTCACAATTAAAGTTTGAAATTCATAGCTCTCTGTGTTTTATTTCACTAGGAAGAGAATCTGTGTGCTTGACTTGTTTGCTTGACTTGTTGCCAAGATGAGCAAACTTAAAATACTTCTTTTCTATAGAACACAGACTTTGGTGTTGAATAGTAGAAAGTGTATTATTTCCAATTATTTTGTACTGCAACTGTAAAAATCAAAGAAATGTATAAACCATTTCTGCATGTTCTACCTGCAGATACACCACAGACACTCAGCAGAAAGCTGTGAATGAAGCAGCTAGGACAGCACAAAGTCAGAGACAGAAATGCCAAAGATTTTATTGAATAGCTGTGCTGAATAAGCTATGGGCACTTCTATGACGGCTTTAGATGGATGATGTGTGGGTTTTTCAGTTGAACAGCACAGAGTCCCCAGCCCCATATTTTTATGAAAACTGGCATGTAGAAACCAGTAGGAAGGTGAAAAGAGGATGTGCAGATCCAGGTGCTCACCCAGGAGCACCTGCAAGAGAGATGTTGGCTGGAGGCTCCTTTTCCAGTAACTATGCAGCTGGTTAGGATAGAAATTCCCCACTAGAAGCAGCACTGACCCCAAAACATTGAGCTTGGGCCCAGATCACTCTCAGCTCATGTGTGATCTTCATGCAGCGCGATGGCACAGAGGAGGTAGGATCCCTCCCTTATGGCCCTTTGGAAGCCTACTGAGAACGCTAAGTTTGTCTTCTGAGAACCATTACACAAAGCCACATGTATCTGAAGACATTAAGCACTCCGGGGTGAGCATGGGCAATGAATACAAGTGCAAAGTTCCAGGCTTTATTGCAAGGACAGAAGGTTTATCAGGACTGTAAGGTCAGCCTACCACTGAAAACAACTTTCTATGGTAGACTTTCACTAATAAAGTTTCTGTGTATTATTCCCTAAGCAAGAAAGAGATTAAAAAAAGAAGTGGGGCTCTGAACAACCTGATGTAGCTGTAGATGTCCCTGTTCATCATAGGGGAGTTGGACTATATGATCTTTAAAGACATCTTCCAATTCAAATTATTCTATGATACTATTTAATATTTGAATTACAGCCTTTTGCAACCTAAATTGCCAGGTCAAATAATGATCTCTGACTATACTACAGTACCAAGGTGAAGGACAAACCATTACCAAGGATCTGATAATTCCGTTCCAATTGACCATCTTAGGCAGCACTTAGTTGAGGCTTTTCAGATCAACTAGTTTGAAAACAAAACTGTACTTTCTAAAATGTGTATTTCACAATGTATTTTTGTTCTGTTAGGAACTTGGTAGATTTTCTTCTACCTCCTTGAGTCCACGTGTGTTGCTTATACTATACTTTATCAAAGTCCAAGTCTCTGCAGCTCAGTAAGAAAAATACTGCAGTTTCCCTCACTGACTGAAATAAAGTAGTCTATGATGCACGAACAAGTCTAAATGAAATAATATCCTTAGCAGTGAAAAATGGATTGGTAGTACAGTAATTGAGTAGATTTATTGCCATCTCCTTCAGCTAGCCTGCTGAAACAGCCTGCTATTTTATATAATCTCAGAGGAATTACTGGCTGGTAATCCATCGTTAAACATCATGCAGAATGATGGATTTTCCAACATCACCAATTCATATCTCATTAGCACGTGTTATTTATGATTCTTGTTACAAGATCTACAGAGGAGAAATAGAGACGTCAGCTATTGTTGAAATGAGATATACTGTAGTTATGAGTCAATAACTACATACAATAATATTTCCCCACAGGATCAATTACAAATAAAGAGTTCCCTTTCTGTGTATGACAGCACTTTCTTCTATGTGTTTTACTGCTAATAATTCAGTGAAAAAAATATTTTAAAGCACAAGAGATTATTGTAAAAATTACTTCTAGGATACTAAGGGAGGAGAGGGAGAAAAGCCTTTGCATGTTAAGTAAAAAATACACCTTATGGCTTCATTGCAATTCATTGAACATTTGGGACACTTTTTCTCCCCATGTCCCTGTGAACACAGAGATTTCTCAGCTGTGGCACAGTTGCATTTTAAGGATACTTTTTGTTGACTCACAGCCTTAGAGCAGCAGTAATTACAGTCACAGTGACAACTGCAGCCTCAGTTAAACAGTTGAAAGTCATTTTTATGTTCAACTCATCAATGATGGAAAAAGAATAAGAGGCTATTTAGAGTACAAGAGATCAGCTCATATTTCAGATCAAAATGAAGATGAAATGTGGGTTTTATTTGCTTGTGGAATTCCCATTAAGTGCATCTCCGATGGGAGGGAGGTGGATCAATAGCTGGCTGCAGAAAGAAGTTTCTGGCTGTTCAACAACCAGTGGAAAGGAAAGGAAAACTTCCATGTGATGATCTTACAGTATCACAGAATCAGAGGTTGGAAAGGACCCCCAGCGATCATGTAGCCCAACTCCCTGCTACAGTAGGTTCCCTACAGCAAGTTGCACAGGAAAGTGTCCAGATGGGTCCTGAGTATTTCCAGAAAAGGAGATTCCACAGCCTCTCTGGGCAGCCAGTGCCAGTACTCTGCCACCCTTAAAGTAGATAAGTTTTTCCCCACGTTCATATGCAACTCCCTGTGTTCCAGTTTGTTCCCATTGCCCCTTGTTCTGTCACTGCTGAGAAGAGCCTGACGTCATACACTTGACTCCCTCCTTTTTGATGTCTATAAGCACTGGTAAGATCTCCTTTCAGTCTGCAGGCTGTACGGACCCAGCTCTCAGCCAGTCTTCATCAGGAAATCTTTATTCTACCAGACTGACAGCATGCAAGTACTCTGCTCAGCTTGGGACAGTTCTAATCACTGCTTCCGTATGCAGTCTTAATACAGTATGTTCATAAAGTTTTAGTTTAAAGCCATGACAAGTCTTCAATATTCATCTTTCTTCCCATAGATGGGAACCTTCTCTCAATACTACTTAATTCATTCAGAAATGTTAAGAAAGTACTGTACCAAGACTTACTTTCTTGTTAAGAAGAATACACATGTATGTACCTTTTGTGGGTGCTCTTGAAGCCTGACTAAACAATTTGTATATCATTCATTAAGTTGTTGTTAGTACCTGGGCCAGGCTCTGATCCCCACTGCAAGGAGAGATACTACACCCATCTTATTGCATTTCCCCTGCACAGCATAGCCTTTAATTGCTCCCCCAAACTGTAGAGGATATCATTCTTCCGATCTTCTTTCCCCCCTCACTCACACACTTCAATCCCATCTTCTCTTGAAACATTTGTACGAGTTGGCAGCTTCTGATAGCAATGTCTCTTATAAATACATTTTAACCCACAAGATTTTTGTTCATAATCACTGTGATTTTAATACATTTTGAGATGCATACATTTTCTGTGTGATAGTACATTTATTTTTACCTGTCCATGACTGATTGGTGGAAAATTGCACTTCTGCAGGTGCAGTCATTTTTGGAAAAGATGATATGAGAAACATTCCTAGATGTATTCTCATCTTTATTTTTTACTCTTTTTTTGTAGGTTTAAATAAAAGTTGTAAAGTGGGTTTTTTTCCTGTACATGTTTAATAAATGTTTCCATCAAGTAAATGCACTTGGTGCTTTATAATGGTCATCTATCTTTATGTATATATTGTAGAAGATTTTCTAGCAGAAAGTCTTCATCAATCTTTAACAATCTTTCCTGAAGGCATGTACTACTTCTATTTTCCTTCAAAGAGCCCTTTCACAGGGGAAAGGATACTTGCCATTGAAAGCAGAGGAAACAGCAGTGACCAAATTCTGTAACTTAACCCAGTACTGTAAGCAAAGGTAGCCACGACATCCACCCAAAGCATTGCTTTAAACAAATCTCCAAGAAAAGCCAACTAGTGCTGATTTTCACTAAGAGTGGATTAAGTCTGATGCACCATTGCCACTTACTGCAATGAGCACAGAAGTCCCTCACAGTAACCTAGAACAAATACTTCATTCAGGATCACAACCTTTAATGTTAAAGAGTGTCATAGGGAATGCCATATTTTTCTAGTTTTCCTGGCATGCACCAATATACTTAAGTACTGATTTTCTGTTCTTTCAGAATCTGCCTGATGGTTCCTGGTTGCTTAGACACTGGTAATGTAATATGGCTAAGTTTAGAATATGCTAAGAAAAATGCTTGTAATTGTAGCAGCTCAAAACCTTGGCTGTTACTACTCTAGTACCAAACCTGGTAAGGCTTTTTCAAAATAAATATTTTAAGCAGGCCTTGTGGTAGAGTGCATCATTCTGATTAATTTATGCAATAATGTGACAGTTGTTTTAATGCATAGTGATCAGAAAACTTTCCAAATCTACAAAACATCAGCAGACTTAAGCTTCCAATAAACACCAGTGACTATTTTTACACCACAGCTTCTTTCATTTAACAGAAAAATAAAGTCAGCTTGCAGCTGATGAACACCAAATAAAGAGCTTCTGTTCTACCTACAGTGCAATAGGTGCATCTCACCACATTGTTTTTCATCTGGACTATTTCAATCTTGAAAAAGAAAACTAATCATTTTTATCAGAGAACTATCCAGACATCACAGTACTGACACAAAAATATCTTAAGATCAATGATTTAACCAAGCATTGGCCCATGAATGAAGGAGTCAAAAGTGAAGTAGTATCACATTAACATCAAAGGCAGGAGGTTTAGAGCTTTTTGTTTAAAATACTTCCATATTCTGGCCGTTGCCTCATCTTTACATGCCTGCTCCAATCTTTTCCTGAGTGAAGTTAAGTCATTATCATCCACAGGAGCAGAGCTCCTTTCACACCTGGATCAGGCTGCTCAGAGCTCTCCCCTACTCTTTCAGATGGGACCAAGATCACAGTCTTCCCAGGCAAATTGTTCCAGTGTATAACCTCTCTCAACAAAGAAATTTTATCTTAAATCCAGGTGGATTTCCAATAGCTGGTGTCCACTAATCCCCTCAGTGTGCATCTGAGAAAAATCTCCACAACCATACAGGAGGCTGAGTAGGCATCATTTATGTCCCCCATTGGCCTTCTTTCCTCCATCCTGAAAAGATTCAGCTCTGCCAACCTCTTTGCAATTTATATGCTCCAGTCCTCAGACCATTTGATGGTCCCCTCCTTCAGGTTATCAACATCTCTCCTGCAATTAAAAGGGTGCAGAACTGCCTATAATTGAAACACTGCTTTACAAGTGTAAAATTCATGGGAAAAAAATCATTTTCCTTGGCCTGCCATCCATGCTTGTAATAAAGCAGCCCAATATACAGTTGGCCTTGACAGGAGCATCTGACTCCTCAAGGAAGCTGCAAAATTTAGAAAGATATTTATGCAGAAGTGTTTAAAATTTAACTCAATTTTCTGAGTTTTTTTATACAGCATACTGCTAAGGCAGCCTTAAAACTGTCAGGAGGACTCCCTGGAGCCACACTTTCATCTAAGAGGTAGGAGCCTGTCAGGCTCTACACAAAGCAGCCCCTGGGACAGGAACAAGATGAAGCCACATACAGTCAGAACTGCAGAGGAAGTTGTCTGCAAACAGGCATGGAGAGGAGCAACTTCCAAAGACAGACATCAGATAAAATTTAAGAACAATAGATACCTCCCACTGTGTGACTTGGCCTAGCAGGTTAGTAATAGGGGAAAATTACTCCTCATAATTTTTCAATTGGGAAGGCATTACTTTTTTGTCAAGATTAGAGCATTATAAAATATTTCTGCTACACAGTATAAGTGAACCTACCCATTAATAAATCCCTGTGAAGATACGTTAACACTGGATTACATTAAGGAGAGCATTGCCAGCAGAAAATTAAGCATAATTAATGGAAACATACGAATAAACCAGGGCTAGAGGGAAAAAGGGACATTCTCTCCATAGATCATTTTGTGGATTAACTGCTGACATGCTCTAAGGACATGTCAACTGTTACTGTTTTTATAGCAGTGATTTCATATAAGATAAAAACCATGTAATTGTGAATATGCATTGCAAGTTACTGCCAAGAAATAATTACTCTGATCACATGCATCAAATTAATCAGTATAATTTTGAAGGCTAAAAGAGCTTAAAATGTGATATGCAACAAAGACTTGTTGAAGTCCTTCAGTATGAGAGATAATAATAGATAGATGGTAGATATATAGATAGATAACTGTTTTACCAATATTCAAATACTCAGTTTCCAAAGGCCAGGACAAGTCACGTTGTAAGTGAGAAGGTGAGCAACACCTGTAGCATTCAGAGATGAAATTTCAGAACAGCAATACCATGGAGACATTCAAAATTATTTTTCAGATCTTGTTCACTGTGTGCCCCTACTCAGTTTGCCATTACATGAACAAGTGCTCCGGTCATGTCCATTAGCCAACATAAGGAAGGTCTGTATGGTTATCACAGCACTATGAGCGTAGCTACCTTCTGGCTTTCACAAACTTATAGAGATTTGCAGATTTTTTTTGTTATTATTTTTTTCACATAGTACAGTCCTCTAAATGAAAACCATAAGGAAATAAAAATAGCATCCCTTTTCTAGGCAGAAGAAAAAAAGGACCTACTTGGTGGTAATAGTTCACCTAAAACATCTTACACCAGTCCCCTAAAATCTTATCTACTCTTCACCACTGCTGTAACCAACACTTTCAAATACTGTACCAATACTGTTCTCATGTTCAAAAGACTTCTAATGAGAGCTCTCAAAAGCTTGCAGAACAGCCCAAGTGAGCAAACTTACTCTTACTAACAGAACAACTATCCTTCCATTATTCTCCTCCACATTGTAACACATGCTCAATTGAAACCAATACAAATAATGGAGAGAGAAGACAAAAAACATGAAGACAACCACTGGTGTCATGCAAAGCACCCATATCCCATAGCTTATTCTGATGCTTAGATGTTGAAACATGTTTGAGAATAGAAGAAAAAGCAAGAAAATAGGACTTCTCATAGAGTTTCATCTGTGATTTTAATTTGCACAGAAGTTAACAACTGTGAACCAAGAGTTACTGTACTGCTTGTGAAAATAAAAATAAGGAAAAGTTGATGCTTGAGTCCTGCTGTGCATATTCATTTTTGTTACATAAAATGGCTCATAATATTACTACACAAATTAGTATTTTAGAGAAAAAGGATAAATATCAAAATAAATTTCAAAAAGGCAAAGATGGCACATATAATGCTTCTAGATGATCTTTAATTACTATTCTCAGATGGTTTCCCTTAGTACCTCAGCCTACAAACAGCATGCAACTTAACAGCCAAGTTCAGGGTACCTGTGGACACCACTGCTAACCATTAAATAATTTGGGGGTAAAATGCTGTGTAAATGCAGAGACAATTCAACAGTAATCACTACTTTTTCTACTTGCTGAAAAATGGGGAAGAAGTGAGCTTCTGACCTGTACAAGACATATGAACTCCATCTAGGAAAAAAAAACTGTATAGATACTACTTCAGCCTGCCTTTCAGATTTAGGTTCCAATATCTATTACATAAAACTGTAATTAAATTTCATCAGGTAAAATTCAGCAGAGTACAATGAAGAATTGTTCCATAGAATCTCTTTTCAATGATGAGATGAAATTGAATATATGGTCTTATTTCTTTCATATCATCCATGTCTTTGTGCTGCACATATTGGCATCATTCAAGTCATTGAATTTTGGATCAAAACCAGGTTTCATGGATTGTTCTGTTCTCATCCTCTCATCCTCTGACTGCACAGACATAGTATGTGATGAAGTCATATTACTTAAGGCATCACCAAATGTGCTCAGATGACAGTGTAAGAAAATAGAATGGAAAAGGATAGAAAAATGCTGCCTTAGAAGGAGAATGTGCATAGTGTCCAAGTCGCAGGACACTGATACTTGGAAAAGGTACACTAATATGACACTCATGGACTTGGTGTCACTGAATTCCTTCATTCATCTGTTCTATTATCTCAAACACTCCTTCTTAAAGGGTGAATATCATACCAATTACATTCTGAATTACTGCCTTCTGAAGTGAAAAATGCTCAGGGTTCATGCCATCCATGAAACACTATGCAGTGTACTTTGTGAAATGGCTTCTGATCACACAGTGTCAGGTGCCAAAAGGTGCTTATCAAACTACTACTGCTGTGAAAGACAGCTTCCAGTGAACAGAATGAAAACAGGACTGCATTTTTACTAATGACTGAGCATTAATAGGCAGTATCCAAATGGAGTCCCAGAGGAAAGTCGGAGGGAGACTGTATATCAAGGAATGTAGTGATAGAACAAGGAGAAATGGCAGTAAGAGTAAAGGAGGGAAAATTTAGATTAGATGTTAGGAGGAAGTTCTTTCCACAGAAGACAGTGAAGCAATGGCACAGCTGCCCAGAGAAGCTGTAGTGCCCCATCCCTTGAGGTGCTCAAGGCCAGGTTGGATGGGCCCTGGGCAGCTGAGCTGGTGGGAGGAGTCTCTGCTGATGGCAAGGCAGATTGAACTAGATGGTCTTTAACAACTCCTTCAGCTCAAACCATTCTATGAGCCTGTGATTTAATGATAATATGTTGTGTGGTAGAAATGATCATAAAATGAGTTCTTCCTATGGGCTTCAAGATGGGGTGTTACTAGCAAACATGAAACAAGAAAAATCTACATTGGATACATCTGTGATCTTGCAATGTTTTGATTCTGCAAATACATTCTTGTGAAAATAAAGCAAAAATATATTTAAATATTTTTGCCCACTTACCCAGCATCCATTAATATCTAAATTGTGTAAATATTGAATATTTTCTACCTAGAAAAAAAATTACTCTTAAGTTCAATTTTTCTTTTCCTTAACATCACTTTACTAAAAAACATTTAATTTAAAATAGGACTCACATACATAGAGTCACATAAGGAAAAATCAAGGGCAGACTTTAGCCTGTCTGTACAACAGCTGTTTTTCCAGCAAACTATATAGACAGTTACGGTCAAAGTATACCCTCCACTGTGCATAATTTCCCAGGCAAAAAAGTCATCAGGCTCTACTAAAACAGACCATTTTGACCACATGAGCATTGATTGTTGATATGATTCAGTTCAGTCAAGTACTTCCTATAAGCTTCTGGTGCATGCATGTAGTAACATTACTTCCTGCATTGATATTTATGATCTGCTCAGTGTTCCCCAGTCAAAATATCCTCATCACTAAATAGTGAGCATACAGAGGATTCCAAACCTAGAACTGGTAAAACTTGCATGATAAAATACAAATGTCCCTAGAAGAGCTTGTTCTCTCAGCTGTTCAGTACTGTTGCATGAGTGCCCTGGAGGCTTAAAGAAAGGAAAAACACTGACTTTGAAGTGAAACCTAGAAATCAGAAGCTTGCAGCTAATTAAGAAGAGGTTTTATTTACTCATCAGAATCACCCAAACATCAGCATGTTAGAATGCATACTGAAATGTAAAATACATTCTGAATCCCCACTCCATCAGTATAATTTCAAAGTATTGTCTCTTAAGCTTACAAGACACTATTTTCCTGGATCTTCCATTTGTTAAATGAGTTTCACTGTATGATTTCCACATACAAATTTTACCTAAGAACAGATATTCTTCTGAAAAGGAATTGTAAACAAACAAATCCCCTCACACTTATCTGAGACAACAGCATTTACCTAGAGAGGTAAACAGCACACAGTCTTCACTTCAGCTCTTCTGATCACTTCCCCATTTAGAAACACAGAACCTCTAAGGTTAGAAAAGACCACTAAGATCACCTAGTCCAACCACCAGCCCACCCCCACTGTATAATCAATGAATATGCAGATGTTATAATTATGAAATATACAAGAGAGCTTAGCTAAGCAGGTTATTACACCAAGAAAAAGAATAGATGGAGCACTTACCCTTATCCTGGGCTCACTGTAAAACCCCAAAGGAGGGATCTCCAGAAAGAGAGCCCTCCACTCTGGTAATCAGCTCTTAAATGGGTCTAGGAGAGGTGGAGCCAGGCTCCACCCCTTCCAGCAGCACAGGTGAATTGCCTTCACCTGTGCTCCGAGGGCTGACTCATTGCCTGCCTCAGGTGGTCAATCAGAGGTTCAGGCCATGATTCAGCAGTTCCCATACACCCACCATGGTGGTTAAATGACTGCTGTTGTTTTGGATGCTGTCATAGAATCAAAGAATCAATGAGGCTGGAAAAGATCTCTAAGATTGTCTAGTCCAACCATCCACCTACCACCAATATTGCCTGCTAAACCACGTCCCTCAGTGCCACATCCACACCGTTCTTGAACACCTCCAGTTATACGACTGCATCACCTCCCTGGGCAGCCTGTGCCACTGCCTCAGTGCTCTTTCTGGGAAGAAATGTTTCCTAATATCTAACTTGAACCTGCCTTGGTGTTTTTTTAATGTGCTGGTGGTTGTTATGCATCCTTAATTTGAGAAAGAACTCTTTTGAATTCAGAATGAATTCTTTCCTAAATAAAGGCATGAATATCAGACTAGCAAAATCTAGGAACTATGAAACACTGAGATTCCTAGAAAGGCCCAGGACCTAGCATTAACTAGTACTGCCTGTGTAGTAGACTGAGTTGGATATTAAGAAAAAAAGGGATGGGAATCTATTTAGATAAATTCCTAGATAAAATAGTCAAATTGAAATATCAAAATTGTCAGTGAATGTATGTTTTTAAACACAATATGAAAAGCAACAAGGGTATGTTAAAAAGTAATTTTAAAAAGTTATAAATTGAAAAAAACCACACCATTATTTTCCATTTGAACTGAAAAAACTCCCAATTCGAATGGAATTTTCAACAGTTATCCATTTTCTCAAAGATCTTTTTTTTCACCCCAGTAAACTAGTTAATTATCCACATTTTTTTCTGTCCAGCTTCAAGATGCAACGTCAGCTCAACAAATGTGTAGACAACGTATTCTTAGAGCATTCATCAAATTAAATAAGAAACGTGATCCAAAAATCCAAAAGCGTATATGAAAGAAAAAAAATTGCACTCAGGGCAGTATTTCATGTAAAGGATTTCACAGCCAGACTACTCTATTTCCTTGACCAGTAAACGTAGCTTGACTTTATAAATACACTGTCATTTCTCAACAGGATAAAAATATCAAAATAAATCAAACAGCCATATAAGTGATTTTTATATATATTTTTTGATGTTTCTCAGTGCTACTCAGTTGCCAATTTTCAGCAAATACGTTGTTCAGAGCTATTATACTGCAGACCTGATGTTTTGGAAAAGTGCTTTGTGATTCTTCTAAACAGCAACAAGCAGAAGGCAAGAAAATTAACTGACTGATTTAGAGCTGACAGATGAGATGGCAAAACCAACAAAATGAACATGCGTACTACCTAAAGCAGTTTTCAGTTTTGCATCATGAGAAGGAGATAGAGACTCTGACCCAAAGAAATTACAGAAATAACTTCATTTTAAGACAATAAATATGCCTGAACAAAAAAATGTCAGTGGTTTACAGGCTGCTTTGGCTCAGTTCCGTGACTAATGGGGCAGGGAGACCCATGGACAGAGCGTAGTTGCCAGTAGAACCAAGTTGCCTGTTGTGTGATGGAACAGAAAATAGTCTTTCAGAAAACCCTTTACAATTTTTCTGCTTTTCTGCATCCATGCTGCTGCAGCTCCAGGTAGAGGAAAACACAGCTCTGAGAATGATCGTCAGCAATTGTGATGCTCCAGAGGCACATCCAGAGTCACCAGCCTTTGCCTCAAAGGATTCCAGCAGATGCCTCCAACCTCCCTATATCACATAGAGAATGGGACAGCTGTCACTGGGCAATGTGATTAATTACCAATACATTTTTCATATGCCTTCTAAGATACACACTGTTCCTATGAAAATGATAGAGTAACAGCAGGTACCAGCAGCATAATAATCCCTATTTTAAATATCCTTTCATTAAAAATAATTTGAATCTACAACTAGTGAGAAACAAAATGAGTGCTCTTGGATCTTCACTAAAATTTAGGATATGCTTCTCCCTACTTTCCCATCACGTTCTATGTTTGGTTTGAAATATGTGAAGCATGGTTGGAAGACTTTGGTGCTAGAAACAATTTTGTTCTGAGAGATTTCATTCTAAAACACAAAGAGTAAGCAGATGGAAACCAAGTTCCTGTTTTAACTGTTGGTGAGTGTTAAGAGCATGAAGCAATATCTAAGAATCTGACAGTTATGAAAAAAAGTAAAGATAATGGTGACTGCATTTAAGACCACAGCTGCTCTCTGAATAATCACTCAATAGCTGAAAAGGCGAAGAGGATAAAGAGTATGAGCAAAGCAGAAGAATCTAAAATACTCCAACATGGAAGGAAACCTGATAACCTGGTAACGTAACTCTGTTCCTCAGTGCTCAGTTCCAGCACTGATGGCTCTGTAGGTTTTATATCTTTCCCTAATTATAACAAGTAATGATTTATGCTGCAATGTGAACTTGTTTGTTACTTTAATATGTGAATCTATATATCTGTAAGTGAAGGATGTGCTAAGTGATTGAATACATTGAAAGTATAATAAAACTAAAGTGTGTGCTGCAAACTAAAATCTGTGGTTCCTGACAGATCTACCACTGCACCATAATGAAGAGCCATTCTCGTGGTTTAAATCTACTCTGTAGTAGGTTCATGAGTTTGGTAGCAGAGATTTCCATAGATGCTGTCCAACCTACATTTCATTGTGTGAAATCAGCATTTAAAAAGCAGTTTTGAGCATTAGAGTGGTACACAAGGAGCATGCATAATTAGCTGATTATGAACATTTATCCAGTTCTGATGATGGGAATTCATATTTGATGTGAATATGTCTATATCCATGCAATACAATATGGGAAGTTTGGCCGAATTTGTGTGTTGTAAAATACATTTCATAACTGCAGATCTCTAACCTGCCTTGAGAGTGTTATTCAGCCTAATATTGTTTGTGCCTATTTGAATTTGAACTGGTGATCTTGCAGTGCTGTACTTGATTCCAGGGCATTTTTCAGAGCATGGTGCCAGTTTGCTAGCTGAACATGAGAAGAATTGTTGTTGAAGGAGGACATCTAGTGATGTGGTCTGTATTTACATATCTAGCTGTTTTGTGCAGCCAGTTTGCTAGCAAGTTACAGAATTTCTGGAAACTGCAGTGAGGATGCAACTTGCTTTGCTATGTAGTAGTCTTGGGGTTTTGATAGAAGATAAAGTGCCAGGTCCTGCACTTTGGTCACAACAAACCTAGGCAGTGATACAGGCTTGGGGCAGAGTGGCTGGAAGGCTGTGCGGAAGAAAAAGACCTGAGAGTGTTGGTGGACACTCAGATGAACACGAGCCAGCAGTGTGTCCAGGTGGCCAAGAAGGCCAATGGCATCATGGCTTGAATCAGAAATAGTGCAGCCAGCAGAAGCAGTCATTATCCTTCTGTGCTCAACACTGGTGAGGTCACACCTTGAGTACTTCATTCAGTTCTGGGCCCCTCACTACAAGAAACGCATTGAGGCCCTGGAATGTGTTCAGAGAAGGGCAGCAAAGTTGTGAAGGGTCTGGAGAACATGTCTTATGGGGAGTGGCTGAGTAAGTTGGGATTGCTCAGCCTGGAGAAGAGAGGCTCACGGGAGGTCTTATTGCCCTCTCCAACCTCTCCACCTGAAAGAAGGTGGTTGTGAGATGGGAGTTGACCTTTTCTCCCAGATAACAGTGATAGGACAAGAGGAAATGGCCTCAAGTTGAACCAGAGGAGGTTCAGCTTGGTATTAGAAAACATTCAGTCTCAGAAGGAATGGTGAGGCACTGGTACAGGCTGCCCAGCAAGGTCGGGTCATTCATCAGAAGGTCTGACACGGGAAGAGCAAAGCAGTCCTCAAAGCATTTATTTTTGTCTCACTGTGTCCCTCATTACTACAGTAATCTTAATTATTGCAAACTCCTCTTTAATACCACTGCTCCCTCTGCTGCAACCCATTACAGAGTGCATCTCACACCCTCTGCGCTTTCCTGCAATAACTGTGAGACTCTGAATGTGCTGACCCAGCACTGGTAAGAAGATCTGAGGGAAAGCAAGTCCTGATGGGGCTGAGCTGGTTAGATTGTATGAGACAGCACAGATCATACCTGTTATGACAACATGGTAGTTAATCATTAACTTTATGAATCAGTTTATACTGCGTATATTTACCAAAATGATGGAACAAATTCATTTTTTAATGATAAAATATGGAAAATTAAAACTTTGGAGGGTTTGAGTAGTAAAATGAATAAATAAAAAGTAGATTGCTTCTCAACATACCATTTATCTAATAGTTTTATAGCTTCTAGTTATGTCTTCATATTCAGAATACTCTCTATTTCCACTAATAGCAAAAGTTTAACTAAAATAAGAATATTTGTACTTTATTTTAAAAAAATTAAGAAATATATATTTGGTGAAAATGAAGCTGCACAACAAAGAAGCCCCTCTCATCTCCTCACAGAGAACAAAGCAAATGTTTGAAGCAATTCTTAAGGAAATTGACTGAATTCTATACTACTGCCTATTTTAGCTCTTCCTCAGTTACTAATTCTAGGCATTCTGTATTTAGAGGAAATGACTTCTTGCTTCAATTTAGCTATTACAGTCCTCTGAAATTGGCACCAGCAAGAATAGCGAGTAACCTATTAAGAAAAAATAATGCTGAGCACCTTTCAATTCTATTACGATTAATTATTCTTAAAATCAATTTGTTATCAAAATATAAATTCCACTTCCCATGCATGTCAACACTTTCTTTCAAGGAGAAAGGCGATTTCTTTGTCATGCAGAAATTTTCATTCCGAAGTTTGCTAAACAAAGTTGGCACTACCATTGCTGCAAATATTACAGTGAACCATCTGACTTTAATATTTTCAACCTGACAGATTTATTTCTTCATAAATAATGAAAAAAAATTC